CATGTTGTTCAAGATCAACTCTACCAATTTTCTCTCTATCATTATGCTATCATATAGTATATCCTCTTTTTCCTTCTGGCTTCTTTCACTTAGCATAAGGTTTTGAGATTTATCCACTGATAAATTTGTGATTTGGTCCTTCTATATTGTTGAGTTATATTCTAATATATGGGTGTATCACATTTTGTTTGTCTATTTATCTGTTAATGGACAATTGTTTTTAGTTTGGGGCTCTTATAAATAAAGAGCTATGAAAATTCACATACGATTCTTTCTGTGGACAAAATCGTTGTTTCCCTTGGGCAAAATAATGAGGAATTGAGTGACTAGATCAAATGGCAAGTTCATATTTAATTTTTTAAGAAACAGCATGTTTTCTAAGTGGTTGCACTACATTTGCATTCCCACTTGTACTAAAATATAAGTCTAGTTTTCCACATCCTCAGTAACGGCCAGTCGTCTTAATTTTGTTTGCGCTAATGGATTAGAGTGTTAGATACCACTAATGTCGTATCTCTTAGGGTTTTAATTTGTATTTCCCTGGCAGCTAATGTATTAAGCATCTTTTCAGGTGTGTATTTGTCATTTGTATATCTTGTTTTGTAAAGCAATGGTTCAATCATTTTTGCCCATTTTTATTGTATTATTATATTTACATTTTGAGAGTCTTTATGTATTCAGGATTCAAACCCTATATATATTGTGAGTACTTTCTCTAATTCGATGGCTTACTTTTTGTTTCTTTAGTGGTGTCTTTCAAAAAGCAAAAGAGATGAATGTTAATAAAATTCAATTTATAAATTTTCTTTTATGGCTCATGTTCTTTGTGTGCTATTTTGGAATCTTGCCTGCCTTAATATTGCAAAGATAATCTGCTAGGTTTTCTCCTAGAAATTTTGTAGTTTTAGCTTTACATCTAGGTGTATTGCCCATTTCAAGTTAGTTATTGTATTGTATATGGTATGAAGTAAGGATCAATGTTTATTTTCCCCCACCCCATGTCAACATTTCCAGTATTTCTGGTACCATTGGGAAGACTTTCCTTCCTCCATTGGATAGTCCTGACATCTTTTTCAAAACTCAATCAATTATCCACATGGACGTACTTATGGATTCTTCCTTCCTCCCATTGATCTGTCTTTTCACCAACTATTAATATGTTGGTTCTTTTATGTTAATCTTGTACTCAAATTTATAGTAAAAGCTTAGTAGATTTATTTCATTGTTAATTTGAATCCATGGAAAAGCAGCAGAAAAATTGAGGAAGCATAATTTTAATATAAAAAGAAACAAAAATAATTCTCACAATGTAGCATCAATTTTATTTATGGTAAGGCATATTACAAGTAATTATTCAAAAGATATACTAGAGCAATTGTTTAAATATTTCATAATGATAATTTGTAACAACATATGTAATCAAGGTACTAAGTTTCTTTTCTTTTCCTGACTTCATGTATCAATTTCAGACCCACCACAGACCTTCTTATCCAATAAATTCAAGAGTGTAATTAGAAGTATATTTATTTAGAATACAACTGAGCTAGTATTGCTTTTCCTATATTTCTTGTAAAGTACTATTTTAGCTGAATAAAGAGTACTCCCCCTTGTAATCTTGTTTTTTTTTCACTGAGAGGTGTTTTATTTAAAAGCATTTCCAATGATAAAAGTGGAAATAATAAGGATATAGAAAACAATCTATATATGACAAATAAATGATAAGGCTGATGGTATTATAAAGACACATTTATATTTGAAGAATTTGAACTTTTGGGGTCCTCTGAAATGGCTTATTTTTATTCTCAGGAAATCCAAAGACTTCCAGAGTGAGCCTGGAGACGTCATGAGCAGGTCTCATCTGTATTATATTCCGCTGTAACTGCCCAGTGGGTTTATCTTGCCCTCTGCCCACATTGAGCCAACTGCCCACATAGAGCCAATCAAGGCACGGGGACTGCAGTAGACAAAGAGTTCTATGCACACAGAGCAGGCTCAAATCAGCTTTCCTGAAAATTCAGAGGCTAGGGTTTTTCAAGTATAGTTTTGTGGGCAGAGGGTTTGGGGGCATGAGAAATGCTGACTGGTTGGGGATACAATCATCAAAGTGCAGAAAATGGTCCTCCCGAACTGAGTCCAACTTTGGTTGGGGGTCACAGAGGAGCTGCTCCTTTAGGTGGGGCCATCTGGTCATCAGAAATGCAGAAGTGGGCCGGATATGGTGACTCATGTCTGTAATTCCAGCACTTTGGGAGGCCAAGGCAGGTGGATTACCTGAGGCCAAGAGTCAAAACCAACCTGCCCAATATGGCAAAACCCCATCTCTACTAAAAATACAAAAATTAGCCAGGCATGGTAGTGGGTGCCTGTAATCCCAGCTACTCGGGAGGCTGAGGCAGGAGAATCGCTTGAATCTGGGAGGCAGAGGTTGCAGTGAGCCGCGATCACAACACTGGACTCCAGCCTGGGTGACAGAGCAAGATTCCATCTCAAAAAAAAAAAAAAAAAAGTGCAGAAGCCTGACAAGATATTTCAAAAGACCAATCTTAGATTCTACAATAGTGATGTTATTTACAGGAATAACAGGGAAAGTTGCATAGCTTGTGACCTCCGGAATAATGGCTGGTTATCATTTAAATGTGTCTATACCTTAGCAGAATTTAGGCCCCTCTCCTCTTAACCTAGTGGCCTTTCATTAGTTTCACACAGGCAGTTTAGTTTGGGGAAGGGTTGTTACTATTTAAGCTATAAAGTTAATTTCTCCCAAAGTTAAGTTGGTCCACACTCAGGAATGACCACGGGCCGGTGGAGGTAAGATAGTTAGTTAGGTCAGAGCTATTCACTGTCATAATTTTCTCACTGTTAGGATTTTTGCATACGTTGTTTCACAACTATATTTCCATGTCCAAAAATGAGTATAGTGAAATCAAAATAAAAACCAACAATGTCTTTCCACTTTTGGCCTTAACATAAGTTATTCTAATGGAAATCATCAAGATTGTTAGGTCAGTTAAATAAGCCTATTCCAAAATCTGCAATTCATTACAATCCAGCACGATAAATGAGGCATAAAAGGAATCTGATCTCCTAGTAAAAGATGGATTCTCTTACTATACTTCAAATTCTTAAAGCAGGATTCGTGATCCTGATTTTCCTACAAGTGTGCCTGAAAATGTATCACAAAGAAATTCTTCAATGTGACATAAAGTCATAAATAATAAATGTTTGATAAGCAGATTTTTAGCAGGGAGTTTGTCTGAACTGCGTTCTCACAATGGTAGTTCAACTGGTGAAAGTCAACTCATTTCAGCAAAACATTGATTTTATCAGTAAGTATTGTTTCTTACTGTCATCCATAGGACAAGACAGGCAGTCATCCAGGAAGCTATGTACTTATTAAAGTGGCAAAAAAAGAGAGATTTCTATAACTGGGAAATTTCTCAGACCACCTTGTGAGCAAGCAGAATGAATATCAATAGCCATGTCAAAAGGTTCAAATATTTGCTTTACAGTTAGCACCAGGGCAAATTACTCAGCCACTCTCAGTATCTTCCTCTGTAAAACAGGAATAATACCATCTGCTTATGAGGGCTTTGGGGAAGATAAAAGGAATTAATACAAATAAAGGACTTAGACTTCTTCTTGGCATAGAGTAACTATACCATAAATGTTAACGGATAACTTGTACCTTCAAAATAAGCAAGCAATAAAAATGTTTCCAAAGATACCAAGAAGCATAAAATTCACACACAGTTATGCAACAAATCAAGCATTACAGTACTTGGATGAATATGTAAATATATTACATCATCTCATTTTTATACACCTTCAAATATTTTATAGACAACACTGATATTTCACATCCCACAATGAAAGGCTTGAAGCATCTTTCCTGAGCAAATATTTAAAGTTACATACTAGAAAGGAAAACCAAAGGCCCAACAGAAATTCATCCTTTAGGGGGACCAAGTTCTGTCATTATACATTTAAATAAAGTTTGTTCTTTCCTGAGTATATGTCTGCATTTCTGCAAGTTAGGTCTTATCCACTGCAATCACAAACTCCACCTATAAAGAAGACATATATCAGAATTTAAGCACATGTTCACAAAAACTCTAGATATACTGCTCCAATTCATGAATTCAGATTCTTCCTGGCTGCAAACAGCAGCCATTCTTCCCTTAAGCCTACAATAAATACATTTTCATGGAAGTATGGGCTAACACCATTATTTTTCTATTCCCCCCAATATTTTATTTAGATACTATTAATAAATATCAAGAAGAAAATTTGTCACAAAGGCAGAGGATACCATGTGCACCCCTATGTGTTTATGCATATAGGTTACCTCTAGAAACCAATTTTAATCCCAGAACTACTGAAGAACAGTCATTCTCTAAGGTGTGGTGAGGCAGCCATGATTCTCAATTTCAGAGGGGGGTACAGTTTGGGGAATTAGCTAAAAGGAATCTGCTCTTTCTCATGCCCATAATTCAGTTGAGTATAATTCTCCCACAAACAATGGATCAGGAGATGAACTTATGTCACTGTGAGATCTTTCTTATCATCCAAAAGTCAACTTTCAAATATGCATGCTCATTTATACATATATATGCCTTTCATACATATATATGCAGAAAATGTATGCTCATTCATACATATAAACACCCTCCCTTTTATTTATACACTTAAAAACCACTATCAAAAACTCAGAGTTGACAATCTTAAAACAATCCCATTAGGAAGAAAAATTGAAAACAAGATTTAGATTTTTTTTTTTAATTTAAAGCAGAATCTGTCTACCATCATGGGAAGGCACCTGGTTCCTTCATCTATTTGGTAAGTTTTGAAGAGTCCTTCCATTACTTATATATTTGTTTGATTTTCTAATATGTCATCTTCTTGCAAAGCCATTGGTGTGTAATAAGTTCAATTTAAATAATGGCATTGTGCCATTTTAACATGAAGTTTGTGCTGTGTTTCAGAGAATAAATAAGACTTACGCAGTCTTTCTAAATCAGATCTTCATCCAGCCAGTTCATTTCCGTAACCTAATCAGCATGAAATAAGGGGAAATACCTTCGGTCTTCAATTCGCTGCAGAAAAGACAACACGAAGATCAAAATGGAGAATGCTAAACTCTGGTGATCATGGCTAGACCACCATACTCAACTACCACAATACATTAATATCAAATCTGAACTAACTCCTTTGTTCTAAGCGATGTCTTAATAGATGTATTCTGTTCCCCATGATATACAGTAGAATCGCATTGTGAAAGCATTTAATGTATGCAGATTCTGCTAGATGTAACAGGACAAGAATGAGGGAGCATGAGGGAAGCCAGACAGAGGAAGAGCCTGTATCTGCCATTCCACCTGGTGAAGAGGTTCCCCAGAGTGAGCTGGAGATGACAAAACACAGATCTACTGTTCTCTCAGGCTGTTTTAGTTCAGCGCATTTTGCATAGCCTGAATTTATTTCCTCACTCTGAGATTCTAGTATTTAAAACTGTAAGTACATATGTACTTACAATATATATATATGTACATATATATGTACTTACAGTATATATATATATATATGTACACGACATATATGCATGCATACACATATATACATGTGGATATTTCATTGTTGTTCAACAACATGGCCCCTAATCCCAAGCAAACCACTCAAGAAACATCAGCCTGGACACAGTGGCTCATGACTGTAATCCCAACATTTTGGGAGGCTGAGATGGGAGAATCACTTGAGCCCAGGAGTTCAAGACCAGTCTAGGCAGCATAGCAAGACCCTATTCTCTACAAAAAGAAAATAGCCAGGTATGATGGTGTGCCTGTAGCCCAGCTACTGGGGAGGCTGAGGTGGGAAAATCCCTTGAGCCCAGGAGTTTGAGGTTAAGGTGAGCTATGATTACGCTACTGCACTCCAGCCTGGGCCACAGAGTGAGACTTGTCAAAAGAGAAAAAACAGAGAGAATGAAAGGAAGAGGAGGGAAGGAGAGGGGCTGGTTGGGAGGAGGGGAGGGCAAAGGAAGGGCAAGGAGGGGGAAGGAGAGGAGGGGAGAAAGGGCTGAGAGAAGAAAGTAGGGAAGGGAGGGAGGGAGAGAGGGAGGGAGGGAGGAAGGAAGAAAGGAAGGAAAGAGGGACCTATATGTTCTAATGCTCAAGTAAAAAAGAAAAAACCTTGTTTGTACTCCCTGAGAGAATGTGTAGAGATTTGCCAGGATTAAATTTTTATGTGTGCATATTTCTCTGATTTCAGTCTTTTTTTTTTTTTTTTTTGAGATAGAGTTTCGATCTTGTTACCCAGGCTAGAGTGCAATGGCGCAATCTCGGCTCACCGCAGCCTCCGCCTCCTGGGTTCAGGCAATTCTCCTGCCTCAGCCTCCTGAGTAGCTGGGATTATAGGCACGCGCCACCATGCCCGGCTAATTTTTTTGTATTTTTAGTAGAGACAGGGTTTCACCATGTTGCCCAGGATGGTCTCGATCTCTTGACCTCGTGATCCACCCACCTCAGCCTCCCAAAGTGCTGGGATTACAGGCGTGAGCCACCGCGCCCAGCTCTGATTTCAGTCTTAACAGTTTTCTTTATACTCAAATCTCTCCCTAGAGTTAATTTCACTACTATATTGGTGAATCCAGATTTACCAAACCAAACTACCACTTCCATGTTTTAAGTAGCCAATGGGTCACATTTCATTTTGCAAATGTGAGTCCTACCTTTATATCAGGGGTCCCCAGCCCCTGGGCCATGGACTGGTACCGGTCTATGGCCTGTTAGGAATAGGACCACACAGCAGGAGGTGAGCAGCAGGCAAGAGAGGGAAGCTTCATCTGTATTTACAGCCATTCCCCAACACTCACATTACCTCCTGAGCGCCACCTCCCATCAGATCAGCAAGGGCATTAGAGTCTCACAGGAGCACGAACCCCATTGTGAACTGTGCATGCCATGGATCTAGGTTGCCTGCTCCTTACGAGAATCTACTGCCGGAATATCTGTCTCACCCCCAGATGAGACCAGCTAGTTACTGGAACACAAGCTCAGGGCTCCCACTAATTCTACATTACAGTGAGTTTATAATTATTTTATTACACATTACAATGTAATAAAAATAGAAATAAATGTAATGCACTTTAATCATCCCAAAACCATCCTCTCCACACTGGTTCATGGAAAAACTGTCTTCCATGAAACCTGGTGCCAAAAAGAATGGGGACTGCTGTTTTACATCATTAACACTAGAATTTCCATCAAAAATCACAGAACAAAGGAGACATTCAGCCTACTGTCACCACTTCAGTTAGGAAATTTCCCCATTTGACCTTTCCCAAGTCATAGGGAGAAGAAAAGTCTTTAAAACAGTAAACCTTTAACTATTAATTAAATACTACTTAATAGCTGTAGCTAAAGAGTTGGCCCAAGAAGTAATTTTCTCCAACATGACCCTTATATACCAGCCAGAGTCTCAGCATTCAATATTAGAGTAGTCACAATATGAAGATAACCAGCTGTTTCCTTGTCTGCTCCGTTATGGCTCCATTCCCTCCAGGGTTCAAGCAGCTAGGACTGGCCACAGTGCTTCACCACCCCAATGGGAACGGCACAGATGGAAGGCAGCAAAACATTGGCCATTCTTCCTTCCCTTGGAATGTTAGGCTTGCCCTCCTAGTCTAAACGTCTCATGTCTCCCCCAACTGAAGTGACTCTACTCGCCCTGTTTCTGAGATGTGGGCATTTCAATTCTTCCTGAGAAACCTCTGGGGCTTCATTTCTTTTCTTTTCTAGAAGTTGCAGGGCTAGTGTCCAGAAAGTTTATAACTTAGCATGCAGAGGCCAAAAGATTTTAGAGGACTTGAATCATAATAGTTTCATCTCTAGTCTCTAATTACATACAGCATTAGCAAAGTGATACTGTTTCAGGCAGTTTTAAAGAGAGAGATGAATCTTCCTGAATTCCAAGACTGATGCTAATCACAGTGGGTCTGATTTTTCCACCTCTGGCACTGGGCTGAAGAGAAGTTCAGAAAATGAGATTCTTCCCTAGAGGGACTAGCTTGGGAAATTCAAAAGCTGCCAGAAGAGGAAGTTTTTAATCACTTTTTAAATGATACATGTAATTACACTATGTTTTCTTTTAAATGATAATTTCATGGGGTTTATGGAAATGAGATATGAGCCCAGATACTGATTCTGCCAAAAACAACCACAACAAAAATTTAACTTAAAAAAATGACTTAGATGGTTTCAATCATCATTTCAATTTCTTTAGTAGGTCATCATCATCACTTGAAATCATTCATTATTAGGTGGTTGTTGAAGATCCTTGTTCTTACCAATGCAAGAAATAAAAATAACTATTCTTGCCCTGGTGGCATTTATATTAACAATTTATTAGATTTGACAATATAGCAATTTCAATAAATGCCAACAATTAAAGTTTAAAATGTCCATCAATGGCACAAAAAATATGAGCAACAGAAGAAGAAAGAGTGTAAAGGAGATGATCTGTAATGTCTAGATCTTGGAGTTGAGATTGGGCTTGTTTTAGGGCAAAGAAGAAAAAAAAGAGGTAATGTAAATTTGTTCATTAATTTATTTAGTATTTCTATGTTAGGCCTTGAAGATTAAATGATGAACAAGATTAACACAGTTCTTAATAGAAACTGGGAGACAGATAATAAACAAATTATTACATAAGTACTGACAGACTGGCATCTTTCTCAAGTGGGTTGAATGGCAAACGTGTTCAACACAGGTTGTGAAGACAGGGTGGAAGAAGACAAAGACCTTACCTTGTAGAAACAGCCTTAGATACCTTTGTCCTAGTAGTTTCAGATGAAAGTGCTACCTGGGTTTTTAGTTCTTTATTCTAAAATTGAAAAAAATGCAGAGATCAAATCGCTAACATATTTATTACCTACCCCCTCAATGCTTCTATTCAACCCAACGCCTGCTTCACTCCTTGGCAGTAAGTTTGTTATTGCAATTATACTATAGAACAAAGACAATAGCCAGTTGAAAGTCCCTAAATATTATCTCGGAAGATGCAGATACTCCCTGAAAAATGCGTAATTTACCAAGGGACTAAAATATAGTATTCTGATTTAGCATCTGAAATTCAACAGCTGAAGTATCTATATTTTATTTTACAGAGTTTTAAAAATATAGACAAATGAGAAGAACTTTTAAAGAACCTTGTTAAAGATACCCACAATATCGATCACATGTTCATCTTTCTTTTGAGATCTCTTGATTATAAACCCCGTGAAAATAGGTCCCATCTGCTTTTTACTATTAATATAAGTTCATGGCCTCTATAGCCTCCATTTTCTTATGAAGCCTTAGTTTCTTCATATCTATACTAGTGGTAAATAATACATGTTTGCCCACCTTGTGTAAGTTGTTGGAAGAAACAACATATGAACATAATATTTTATATCTGGAAGCACTCTCGTAATTCTGGAAGTTCATGCAACAGCTAAGAAAAGGAATGGTTAGGGTGCAAGTTCTCAGGTACAAATCCTGGCACGGCCACTTACTGGTTATGTGACCTCATTTAGGATACTTAGCCTCTCTGTGCCTAATTTCCTCATCTGTATTGCAGATATAATAACGCCTTCTTCACAGATTCAAAATGAGATAAAAAATATGTCAAGTGCTCAGCTAGTGCCTGGCACAGATTTTAAGACTTAAAAGGAGTTGGTTATGATTTTCTAGTCCAAGTGCCTTTTTTTTTTTTTTTTTTTTTTTTTTGAGACAATGTCTGGCTCCGTCGTCCAGGCTGGAGTGCAGTGGCACAATCTCGGCTCACTTCAACTTCCAACTCTTGGGCTGAAACCATCAGGCTGTCACTCAGCCTCCCCAGTAGCTGGGACCACAAGCGTATGCCACCATGCCTAACTAATTTTTATATTTTTGGTAGAGACAGGGTTTCACCATGTTGCTCAGGCTGGTCTTAAATTCCTGGACTTGAGCGATCTGCCTGCCTCAGCCTCCCGAAGTGCTGGGATTGCAGGTGTGAGCCACTGTGCTCAGCCCCAAGTACCATTTTTATAACTATAAATTGAATTCCAAAGACTTCCAGTGCCCCGCACCCTATTCACGGCAGAGTTCAATGCCAGGCTGTGTACTCCCCTCCAGAGCCAGTGCTTTCCCTACAACACAGCCAAGCGAGCAATTTTACTTCCCAGAGCTGGAAAGTGAGACTTAAAACTGAAGGATCATGACCAGTTCTGAATTGCTCGTGAGTTGCACTGGCAGGCCAGGGGTCTTTAAAGGACACACCCACATTAAAGTGTCTGGGACCAAAAGGCAGCTGGGTGGAACAATGACAGGTGATGAACAGGGACACCGGCTCCCTTCCCTTTCAAGGAAAACAGGCTTAGAGCGTCATGTAATTATAGTTTAAAAGGTATTTTCTTTCTTTCCTGTTTTTTCTTTTTTTGAGACAGGGTCTCACCCTGTCCCCTAGGCTGGAGTGCCGTGGTGTGACCTCAGTGTTACAGGGTGTCTTTTATCTGGCTGGAAGTCTTTGTGGCTGGTGGCACCTTTGCCAGAGTTTTGCTTGGGTCTGCTGGGCTCATTTTATTCACTGAGCCTGGCAGGCTGCATGCTACTGGCCTAGGTCTCATGCCTGCCAAAGGCAAGTCAGATGTGGAATGGCGAGGGTTGTGTGACCAAGCATGGGGTCTACTACTGTGCACAGTCAAACATGCCGGCTGCTACAGTGGGGTGTGCAGTTCCAGGTACTGGCATGGGTGCTGAGGCTGCAGCCGGACCAGGCGCATCACAAGCAGCTTCCACAGCTGGCACCAGGGAACACAGTGGCACCTGGAAGCTTGGAGATGCCAGGAACCGCAAGGCCCCAAAGAGAGAGTCACAGCCCTAGTTCAGGGAGCTCCCAGGTCTGGGATCCCCAAAGGGCCACAGCTCTTTCCTTCTCTTTGCCTGCAACATGCCGAGCAAGGGGCATGTCTCAGCCCTGTTTGTATTACAGCTCTTTTAACCCGGGCATCCATTGGGTCCTGAGTTCTTGTCCTGCAACCAGGAAGAATGAAGTACACAGACAAGTGGAGGTCAAGCAAGATGAAGAGGAGCTCTGCTGAACAATAGAACAGCTCAGAGGAAACCTGCAGCAGGCAGCTCCTTTCCGCACCCAGGAGCTGTGTCCTAACGAACGTCCAGCTCCTTGCAGAGAAGGTAGCTCCTCTCTGCTAGGCAAGTAATCCCAACAAGTGTTCAGCTATCAACAGAGAGGGTAGCTCCTCTCTACAGCTGGCTATCCCATCATCTGTGCAGCTCTCAGCAGAGAGGAAGCCTTAGAGTGGGTGCCTCCTCTCTGCAGGCAGGGGGTAAACCTGGGGTTTTTATGGCCTCAAAAGGGAGGAAGTGTGTGCTGATTGGTCCATGGGTGGCCATGGGCGGCCATGGGTGGGCCCAGAAAAGGCAACACAAGTTCCCACTCCAGTCCACAGGGGCTGGCAGCCCAGCCCTAAGCCTTTAGGACCTCCCTGGCTTAAAGGTGGGAACTCACTGGGGAACTGCCCCTTCTGACCAGGAGCCTGTCTGCCTTCTGCTGTGGTTCATCACGCCCAGGCTGTTTGTGCCAAGGGGCACCTTCAGGGCAGTGCCAAGCTGCCCTCAGCACCCCCTTGGCTTCCCTCCCATGCCTGTTGGTGCCCAAAGTCTAGAGGGAGTTGAGGCAGAAAGGAGCTGGCATGTCAGCACTATTCCGACCATGCACATACCCAGCTGGACTGTGACAGTGACCAGGCTTGGACCCAATTTTGCTCTGAGACTGGAGAGGGTGCCAACAGCAGGGGGAAGCCAAGCAGTGGGCGCAGGCACTTCCAAGCCTGCAAGGGTGGGATGGAGGCCTTCCCAGTCCCCTAAGAGTACAGGGATTCCTGAATCTGCATTCACAGTTCAGTCAGGTGGAGCTGTGCCCAGTGGGGGTCGGGCTCTTGTGGGCTCCATGGAGCATGCAGCCCTGACCACGCCTCCCTGCTGCAGCCAGTAAGAGGGCAGTGGCCCCTCCAGATGGCCCACCACAGATATCAATGGCTCACTGCAACCTCCACCTCCGCCTCCTGGGTTCAAGTGATTCTCTTGCCTCAGCCTTCTGAGTAGCTAGGTTTACAAGCATGTGCCCCTCACACCCAGCCAATGTTTGTATTTTTTTTTTTTAGTAGAGGCAGGGTTTTGCCATGTTGACCAGACTGGTAGTGAACTCCTGGCCTCAAGTGATCCATCCTCCTTAGGCTCCCAAAGTGCTGAGATTACAGGTGGGAGCCACTGCACCCAGCCTACAAGATATTTTCTGAAATTCCACCTGATGGTTTGGAGTAAGTCAATGGTTTAGAGTCAGTCTTGAATTGTGCCCCTTCTTAGCTCTCAGCATTTATCATTAATAATAATTGAAAGATGGGTCCAGTATCTTCATATGCAATCATCATTCCACTGTAAAATTTCAAGGGTGAAGCTAAGTTTCACCCAGGAAATGTACTTCAGATTTGATCAATTAATGATAAAGATCTCCTCATATAATGAATATAAATCTATTATACACTCCAAACAAGTGTAGGCACATATTATAGGCCAAGCATGTGTCTAGAAAAAAAAGTCCCTCTCTAAGTACTTTACACGTGATGAAGCAATTTGAAATGCACTCTCTTGATGACAAGCACCATTGGAATGAAAATATTCTGTGGCTGGTCAATTAGGTAAAAGCTACTTAGGTTTTCCCAGAATAAACTCCCAGTTTCTCAACCAATTCAGTACCAAACAATACAAAAGCATAAGAGTTTTTATGTTAGATCCTCTTTAATTTATTTTAAATTCCATGCTGATTTGTTTCATCTACCAGATTTAGGTATTTAGTCTTGATTCATAGACTTTTCTGATTTTTCCCTTAACTAGGACACTATATGCATGAGTTTTATTTAAAAACTGCAAATCACTGGCCAGAATATGTCTGCCATTATTATGGCTCTGTCTAAGGATAGTTTATTCACATAGTTTTCAAAAAGAATATAATTTTTGCATACTTAATATTTTAGCAACACACTCCAAGAATTAAATTTTAAGAATGATGGTGCTTATATAAACTAGGATACTCTTCAAAGTTTATAAAACGGAGTAATTTCTGAAGATGCATTTCCCTAGGAGCAGGTCCTTAGTGAAAAAATGAAAAATGCAAGAAATATGAGTGTCAGAGCAGTAAATTAAGATGAAGAAAGATATGCAAAAACAGGAAGTAAGTAATTTTGGTAGGGTTAAGCAGAAATTTTCTGGTGGTGTTTAAAACTGGTTAAGAAGAATTAAAGATTTTTTTAAAAGATAGGGTTATATGAGTCAATTTTATCGCCTATAGGCAGGAAAAAAACTTGCTAGAACAGAAAGACCACCACAGGAAAAAAGTGTTTCCATGACTTAAAAGCTAGAAGTAAAATAGAAAATATTTAATACAGTAATTGTGACAATGACTAAAATCAATATAAAAGATCATGAAAATTTAATGATATAACCATGTGTTTAAAAATATATTGGATGCACATATATATTTCACAAACATGTATACACACACACACACACACACACACACTTATTTAATCACCCAGTGTGTTAGTCTGTACTGACGCTGCTAATAAAGATGTACCCAAGACTGGGTAATTTATAAAGAAAAGAGGTTTAATGGACTCACAGTTGCACATGGCTGGGAAGGCCTCACAATCATGGCAGAAGGCAAAATAGACACAAAGATACATCCTACATGGAGGCAGGCAAGAGAGAATGAGAACCAAGCAAAAGGGGTTTCCCCTTATAAAGCCATCAGATTTCATGAGACTTATTCACTATCACAAGAACAGTAAGGGAGAAACTATCCTCATGATTCAATTATCTCACTGGGTCCCTCCCACAACACATGGGAATTATGGGAGTTACAATTCAAGATGAGATTCAGATGAGGATACAGCTAAACCGTGTCACCCAGCTATCCAGATAAGCAGATATTGGCGGGGAGGCATGTGCTGCAAAGCCAAGCAGACTCAAATGCAGGTTTTGCCTCTGCTAGCCAAGTGATTTTAAACAAGTTGCTCAACTTTTCTGACCCTCAGATTTTTTACTTGCAAAATGTAGTCAATAATAAACTCTCCTGGAGCAGCTTTGAGGATTAAAGAAAACCAAATATGTAGCATGACTAAACAGAGACAAATGATTTTAGTATGAATGAGAAAGTGATGCTGTCTTTAGGATTTACAAAGTTGATGTGTTTAAAATGTTGCTCAAGCTCTGATGATCATTTTTCATAAACTGAATCAGTGCATCCTGTTATTTCAGGAATTCCAAAATGGGCAGTGGCCTTAAATTTGCAGTGCAAGATAGTGTACCCCTGCACATTTTATTCTAGTTTAAAACTTTATGATAAGGCATTCACTAGGAATAGGATAGAAATCTATTTACTGTGGGGCTGGGTGAAATGGTTCACACTTGTAATCCCAGCACTTTGGGTGGCCAAGGCAGGAGAATCACTTGAGCCCAGGGGTTTGAAACCAGCCCTGGCAACACAGTGAAACTCTGCCTCTACAATTTTTTTAAAATAAAATTAGTCAGGTATGATAGTGTGCACCTGTATTCCCAGCTACACAGAAGGCTGAAGTAGGAGGATTGCTTGAGCCTGGGAGGTTGAGGCTGCAGTGAGCCATGATCATGCCACAGCACTCCAGACTGAGACCCTGTCTCTAAAAAACAGACAATAAAATAAAATAAAATAAAATAAGTTGAACCACTATGGCTCAAGGTCACTATATTTACATATTTAGATACCTGATCCAACATCACATGCTCAGAGATGCCCTCCCTAATCCCTATTACTCTATGACTCCTCACAGTTTTCCATTCTTCCTCAGAGTACTTAGCACTTCCTAATGAAGCTGTATACTTGCTTGTTTATTGTCTGTTTTCTCAAAGTATAAGTAAGATGAAGTCAGGGACAATCTGTCACATTCATGGCCATATACCTAGCACTTAAAACATTTCCTGACACATCATAAACACACAAAATATCTACTGAATAAATAAATTAATATGGCTTGGACTTTTTAAATCTCAAATGGGCATGGTAACATTCACTACTGCGAAGGAAAGATTTATCTATTGAAGAAAATAAATGTTGAGAACATAAAGTCACTCATCAGATACTGTTATTATTTGAAACCATTTTTCTATAGAAGTATTAGAAAACACTGGCTTGAGGCTGGGTGCGGTGGCTCACACCTAAATCCCAGCACTTTGGGAGGCCAAAGTGGGTGGATCAGCTGAGGTCAGGAGTTCAAGACCAACCTGGCTAATATGGTGAGACCCTGTCTCTACTAGAAATACAAAAATGAGTCAGGTGTGGTGGTGGGCACCTATAATCCCAGCTATGTGGGAGTGTGAGGTAGGAGAATTGCTTGAACCTGGGAGGCAGAGGCTGCAGTGAGCAGAGATCATGACACTGCACTCCAGCCTAGGTGACAGAGCAAGATTCCATCTCAAAAAATAAAAAAGAAAGAAAGAAAGAAAAGAAAAGAAAAAGGAAGAAAGAAAGAAAAAAACAACACTGGCTTGGGTTGAGCTACATACAGAGAATCTAAGACAACACTGAGAAGTGCCGTCACATTACTGTAGAGAGTCTGTCACAAGCCAAGAAGTTTCCATGAGAGGTGAGACGGACACACATCTATTTCTGTGACATAATTGCTGAATAGTCAGTAATCATTTGCTGAATTTTGGAATATACAAACAGAGTACAATGGAAACAAATACATCTTCCTGGTCTAACTGTTTAACCAACAGGCCAGCTGGATAATGTACAGTATCTGGGTTGTCAGTTTATTTAGGAAGATAAAACCCTCACTGGGAACATTATAAATAGACACAACTAAAGAACACAAAATTGAATTAGAGGTAGTAGTACCATTGACACCTTGACTTTGTGATAAGAATGGGCACTTAATTAGGTATGAGCAGAGCCCAGAGCCATATGAAGCAAAAGATCTGAGAACAATGCCAACCCTAAAACAATCTCTTCAATTAAAACACATTACAGATGAACAATAATTAAAGCAGTAAGCTATTGGAGCCAAAATAGGCTGATTTGCTGTTGGAACGGTTTCAATAAGAATTTAGTCCAGAACAAAAAGGCATTTCAAGTTCACTCACTAGCTAGTAAGTTCCAGAGAGCAGGGCTCATGTCTACTTTCTTCAGCACTGCTTTCCAGAATTTAGTGCCTATATCCTAGTAACCACTCAGTAATTAAGTGTAGAAGTAATTACATAATTCATGATGTGGAAAAATGAAAAATGAAAGCTTAAAAATGAGAATACAATAGATAGGCATAGTGCAGTGCCATATATATTCTATAGTTAATATGTATACACAGGTATATAACAGGCACACAGATTCCCACAAAACACATATATACCCAACCGTGCTGAGTTGGTACCCACGGATGGTACTTTTATCTGTGATTTTCTTGTTCTATTTGTATATCCATGTGTCCTAACTTATATGGAATGAATGAATGTCAGTTACATAAAAAGTGTAAGAAATAGGCTGGGTGTGGTGGCTCATGTCTGTAATCCCCAGTACTTTGGAAGGGAGAGTTGGGCAAATCACCTGAGGTCAGGAGTTTGAGACCAGCCTGGTCAGTATGGTGAAATCCTGTCTCTACTAAAAATACAAAAGTTATCCAGGTGACATAGCGTGCGCCTGTAATCCCAGCTACTCAGGAGGCTGAGGCAAGAGAATCACTTGAATCAGGGAGGCAGAGGTTGCAGTGAGCCAAGATCATGCCACTGCACTCCAGCCTGAGCGACAGAGTGAGGCACTGTCTCAAGTATATTGCTACATGTAATAATACAAGAAAAAATATTTCATCAAGTAACATTTGCCTCTAAGTAAGAAAGGGAGTGAAGAAATGTCTTTAGAGAACATTTCATAGGAAGCTCCACTGCGACATGAATCACATAATCCAAAGGTCCCCTGATATAAATTATCCAGCTATTACTGGGCACTTGGGTGAACACTAGTTTTGAGCCAATTATTCCACAATCAAGGCATTTTTAGCTGCACAGAGCTGACAGCAGTGTGTTAATCAGTCCCATACAACCTGAAGAGGGTGAGAATCTAACAAGAGTGTGAGGTTCAATGAGGTCTATCCTCAAAACCAAAGAACAGTTGTCCCCCAGGAAAATAGAAATGGAAAATGAGGCTAAAAAAATTTAGATGTAAAAAACTGTTCTTATGATTTTTTATCTTCTTTTTGGGGAAAGCAGAAAGAACATGGTAGTGGAAGGAACAGTTCCAAAAGATGATAAGGCCTCCAGTGGGAAGTTAGGGCATCTCCACAGTCCATAGGACTGGACAACATTTACGTTGCTAGGTGACAATGAGCAGAAAATCAAAGTACTGAGGGACAGAGTAGAACAGGTTACCAGCTCCAGGCAGTGGGTGATGCACCATTTGACAGGGACAGAAGCAGAGACACAGCAAGAAACGGAGCTGAAGTGGAGTTGCTGTGGGGTCTTCAGAGGAGCTCCAGCCTTGGCAGCGGCTTCACTGCACTTCCCGCAAGGCAGGGGCATTGCCAGCCGAGGACGGCAGCTGAGTGCCAGCAAGGGGGTTGATATGGTTTTGGTCTGTGTCCCCACCCAAATTGCACCTTGAATTGTGATCATCTTCACGTGTCAAGGGCAGGGCCAGGTGGAGATAGTTGAATCATGGCAGCCGTTTCCCCCATACTGTTCTCATGATAGCGAGTGAGTTCTCACGAGATCTGATGGTTTTATAAGCTTCTGGCATTTCCGCTGCTGACACTTCTTTTGCCTGCTGCCAATGTAAGCCACGGTTTCCACATTCCGTCATGCCATGATTGTGAAGCCTCCCCAGCGTGTGAACTGTGAGTCCACAAACCTCTTTTTCTTTACAAATTACCCAGTCTCGGGTTTGTCTTTATTAGCAGCATGAGAGCAGACTAATACAGGAGTCCTGAGGAAAGGGGGTCTGAGTGGGAGGGAGGAAAAGCATATCTTATCCTAGGACATTAGAATGTATTGTGCTCAGTTTGAAAACACTGAAAAGCAAGGCCATTACAACAGGCTTCTAGAAGTGGGTAAGCCTGGAGGCAAAGGTTGGAGGCCAGGATGGATATGAATGAAGAAAGGAGAAAAGAGGACATCCCAAACCAGGAAAGGATCATGTGTGGGAACAAAGGCAGGATACAGGAAGACTGGCCATCTGGCTAGAGTGGAATTTCCACAAGAGTGGACTTGAGTAAGCTTCTGATTCAAGTCTGTATCAAGAGAGGTTATCATCTGTCTCTCCATTACAGTAAGTATTCTGGAAAATTTAAGCGAACTTTTCATAGTCATTTAATTACATTAATAATATTTAACATTAATAATGCTAGTAATTTAATAACATGATAAAATCTTTTAAACACTTCATAATTTAGCAATCATTAAATTGTCACTCCTTTTTTCCATAGCCCTAATTTCTTATGCATGGGAGATGCACATACACACACTCACAAAATGACACTTGGATGCACACAGACACACGCACATATACTTAGACAGACACAGCATACACAGTCACACAGACACTGGCATGCCTGCTCCCAAACAGACATACTCAGTGTTATACAGGCTTACAGTTGCACACTTGCATACACAGGCTCACTGATAGTGACACCCTCACGCACACAGATACATATACACACACCACTCACACCCTCATAACAAAATGTAAGACAGATTCCCTCCTTACCTGGGCTTCGAGTATGTTAACTTTTTCTTTGAGATTTTCAATTCTTTTGTCTTGTTCTTTTAAATTATTTTTTAATCCTTCCATCTGTGAATTAGAAAACACAATAGGAAAAATCTTGTCAGACCACAGGAAATAGTTACTTAAGTCAGAAATTGTATGGATGTCTGAGGTCAGAAGATATTCATCAAATTAAAAAAAAATTAAATCCCAAAGCATTAGCAGACTCAGCAGGCAACAGAAAATACCAGGCCAAATTGACACCTGGGGCTGAAAGCCCTCAGCTGGTGCTGTTATTCACTTTAATCTTTAGATAACCTGTTTAAACCAAGTTCAGCAGGAGTGCGTCCTGTGAAAGTAGCCCTGGCTGTCCTTCTGCATCTCAGCAACTTAATGTTCTCATCCTGCAGATGCAGCTGCTGGTGGACAGGATGAAGACTGCTGCCAGGTGTGCAGAGGCTCCCTGAAGTAGAGACTTGTCAATCAGCAACATGATAAGGTGAGCCTGCTTTGCCAAGAGGCAATGTGGAATTGTGAGGTGGGGTGATGAGATTCAAAATGGTGCAAGAAGAGAAGGGACATGGATTCTAAAACAACTTTGCCACCACTAGCTGTCATTAAACTGCTCTGTAAAAAGAGGATGTGGAGTGGCCCCCAAAGTCCCTCCTGGCTCTCAAATTACACTACTCAATTATCTGGCTTTTTAGTGAGGTCATAGCTAAGCAAGCACAAATGCTATATTTATGTCAGGAAAGCTCTGGAGTTATTTGGGAGGACTTCTAATTGGCAGTATAATAATTGAATAGAAGTCTGATTTTAAATTTTGAAACAGATACCCAAAAGCAGATCAATGCATATATATATACACACACACTTTTAAGTTCTGGGGTACATGTGCAGATCTTGCAGGTTTGTTACATGCCTTGGTTGTTTGCTGCCTCCATCCCCCTGTCACCTACATTAGGTATTTCTCTGAATGTCATCCCTCCCCAATCTCCCCACCCCTTGCTATCCCTCCCCTAGCCCCCTAGTCCCCAACAGACCCCAGTGTGTTATGCTCCCCTCCCTGTGTCCATGTGTTCTCATTGTTCAACACCTGCCTATAAGTGAGAACATGCGGTGTTTGGTTTTCTGTTCTTGTGTTTGCTGAGAATGATGGTTTCCAGATTCATCCATGTCCCTGCAAAGGACATGAATTCATCATTTTTTATGGCTGCATAGTATTCCATGGTATATACGTGCCATATTTTCTTTATCCAGTCTATCCTTGATGGGCATTTGCATTGGTTCCAAGTCTTTGCTATTGTAAATAGTGCCACAATGAATACAACATGTGCATGTGTCTTTGTAATAGAATGATTTATAATCCTTTGAGTATATACCCAATAATGGGATTGCTGGGTCAAACAGTACTTCTATTTCTAGATCCTTGAGGAATTGCCACACTGTTTTCCACAATGGTTGCACTAATTTACACTCCCACCAACAGTGTAAAAGCATTCCTATTTCTCCACATCTTCCCCAGCATACCTTGAAGTAGATTTTAAATACACGCTTCATCATCTAGCTGGCTGCTACCACAATCCCATCTGCTTTGCCACCTGTCAGGCTGCTCTCAGAGAAGAAGGGCCAGGCTACACACCTAACCTAAAACACCTCCTAAATAAATCATGAGGTTATGAAAACAGATCATTTTATGCTCAAGGAAGGGCTCAATCTCCTGATCTATAAATTTGTCTAAAGACCAGTATACATTATTTGGCTCAAAAGACTTTTAGAAAATCACTGAAACATAAATAAAAAAAAATAAAAAAAAACAGTTACACGTGATTTTCCAAGCTATCTTCATTGAGAACATTACAGGTGTTGGTGTTACAAACAAGAGAGGGCATTGAAAACGGAGCCATATTGGATGAGAAACAAAAAAGGATATGTCAGTAGGGAGAGAAATCTCATTGCTTCTAAAGTCCAGGCAAGCCACTTGTATTTGGGCTCCACACTGTAAACATACCATCTCCCGGAGAAATATACTAGATTAATATACTAGAAATATACTACATTAACCTGACCTCCTGGATGACACTGCGCAGATTCTGATGCTGAGAGTGAATCACAAACTGCAGATGAGAGATCTGCTCCTGAAGAATGGAAATCTCCATCTGAAGATCCTGGCATCTGGGAATGCAAAGGAAAAAAGAGTTAGAGAAAATGATTGGCTTACATGTTCCATAGCTCGCCCTTATTGCTAGGCCTCCTACACATTTCACTGCTACTGGGGATCCGGTGGGTAAGACCCCAGAGCCCCATTATGCCACACAGGACACTGAAGATAAATAGCTATGAAGCAGGCTCTGATTTGCTTGGACATAAACTTGAATGAGAATATCAATTCATGTCAAAAGCTACTCTCTAGCCATCTGTGACTCCTCCAGCAGGTAGTGGGATCAAGTTGTGTTCCATAGGATAAATTGCCTTGCCTGAGCACCCACAGACCTGGCCCCTATCAAACTTCACAGGCAATTACATGGCAATAGCAGAGTCAGAACATGGGAGCAGAAATGGAGATTTTATATATGAATATATTTTTTAGAAACCAATTTCTAATGATTCAGGCTTAGTATATGTTGTGGCTTGTCTGTCTTTGTCTGCTTTATTTTTTGGCTTCCTACTTTTGGTAATACTATGAATCAGTAGGGAAAGGGAAAAAAGAGAAGAAAGGAAGAAATTAAATTTTAGCAAGTATTTTTGAGTCCACATCAACCATTATGAAAAAAAGAATAAGTCAATTTTGAATTTAGATTATTTATACTTTCCCAAAGCTCCATCCAGGTAACTGGAATTGATTGTGCTCTTTTGGCTGTTTCCCTTCTTGCCAATGTTATTAGAGTTATGAAGCCACACGCATTGTGGCAACTGTGTGCTACTGTGTTTTAGATGATAATGAGAAACATGTGATTATCATACCTACACAACTAAATCTCACTGCAAAATTTCATTTCCCTCCTCTTGATTAACACTATAAGCAATTATCAAATTAAGGAGAGCTATGAAAGAAATGCAGACTGTTAACGCAGGCTAAAGGAAGATCACTAGTTCAACTGTGCCAATATTTTATCTACTGTTTATAACACAGTCATTTAAAGTACCCCGTAGCTGGCAGAAAGCCTTACCCTGGTCTTTCTCTCTTGCAGAGGGGCAGTGGGGAATCTGAACCAACTAAATGAGCAAGGAGTCCCTTGTTTTTCTTTCCATCGTCCACAGTAGGAAGTGTTTGAAAAGAGAAGCTGGATGCCTGATTCAGATGAAAAAGCTTTGTGCACATGTAATTTGAACTTACAATGGCAGCAATACTCAGCCCTCACAGCATTTCCAAATCAAGTTCAGAAAATGGCTGCATCAGCACCAGCCTGTATTCACATTAGATTTCAATTGTCCCTAGACTTGAGGTTCAGAGGCTTCTTGAGGCACAAGAGACTGAGGAAATTTCAGGACCCCCAGCAGGTGAGGCTCTACACCCTAAGGATGCTGCAGGAAAATGGAAGAGGCTTCCAAGGAGATACCAGACTTTGGATGTCTGCAAACATTCCAAAAAGAGAGTGAGAAGGCTTACTGCCTACAGAGAATCTTCAGGGGCAGGATGTCTTCAGAAGTCCAGGAAGATTGGGTGTGTGCAAGGGACAGGGCTGAGAAATCTGCAGATGTTGCTCAGAACCCTTGGAGGGTAGAATTGCTGCGAACATGCAGAGGATGGGGTAACTGAGGAGCCTCAGAAGGAAACCTCAGTTACTAGGAAAAGATGACTTGAGGATATAAAGATGAAAACAGCCCAGGTGTAGTGGTTCACGCCTGTAATTCAAGCACTTTGGGAGGCCAGGGCAGGAGGATCAGTTGAGGCCAGGAGTTCAAGACCAGCCTGGCCAACATGGCGAAACCCCATCTCTATTAAAAATACAAAAATTAGGCCGGGTGAAATAGCTCACACCTGTAATCCCAACACTATGGGAGGCCAAGGTGGGCAGATCACTTGGGGTCATGAGTTCGAGACCAGCCTGGCCAACATGGTGAGACCCTGTCTCTACTAAAAATACAAAAATTAGCTGGGCTTGGTGGCATGTTCCTGTAATCCCAGCTACTCAGGAGGCTGAGGTACAAGAATCGCTTGAACCCAGAAGGCGGAGGTTGCAGTGATGTGAGATTGCACTATTGCAATCCAGCCTGGGCAGCAGAGCAAGACTCTGTCTCAAAAACAGAAAAAGGGAAAAAAAAAACAAGGTCAAAACACAGAGGGCAAACAGGAATTGAATTCATAGCTGGTGCTGAAGTTCACAGTTGCTCCAGCAAGGAAAGTAAAAGAAAAGAAGAAGAAAAAAAAAAAAAGAAAAGAAAGAAAGAGCAGCTATGACCCACTTGATGGTCAGACTCAGAACTTTCCTGGGAAGAAATGAGAAAGAGCTTAAGAGATGCCTTGCAGAGGCAAGCAAGCTGGCTTTGAATATGCACAAAATATAAAAATACTGTAAGCTGTTAAAGGTACGTATTTAAAATGGTTCTCTTCGTGTCCCATAACCTGGAAACTTGTAACCAATGGAAAAAAAATGGCTTTAGGCAAGGGGAACAGAGGTTGTTATTTGTCTATCAAAAATACCAAGCTCAGAAAACTTTCCAATGTATTCCTTGAAAGATGGAAGAAAAATATTTTTAGAAGCACTCTTGAAAACACAGGCTTTGGGCTTCACTTATCTCCACTAATACTCTAAAACAGTGACCAAAGGACATTGCATAAAATCTCTATTAGGGTTGTTCAATAAATATGAAGCCTAGTAATCCATTTAAGACCTTTAAATGTAAAAATATATCTAAGTAAGCTGCCACTTGATCTTCTTTTGAGATTTGTTATTTATCTTTCTGACTCTCCTGCCTTAGCCTCCTGAGTAGCTGAGATTATAGGCATCCACCACCATGCCCAGCTAATTTTTGTAATTTTAGTGGAAACAGAGTTTCACCATGTTGGCCAGGCTGGTCTCAAACTCCTGACCTCAAGTGATCTGCCCACCTCAGCCTCCCAAAGTGCTGTGATTACAGGCGTGAACCACTGCACTCAACCCAGTCTTAATAAAGAGATACACAAGCAGAACTGGAGGAAGAAAACATAAGGAAGGGCCAAGCCTAAGAAAAGGAGGCAAATGTCTGTATCCAGGATTCACACTCTGCTTTCCAATGTCTCAATATAATTTTTGACCATGTTTTCCTCTGCAATGCAATGAATACAAATATAAAGCAAATGTTGGAATTAAAGCAGAATTGAAAAGTTTTGGCTTCTAAGAAATGTAGAAGACGTTCTCTTTCCCATTCTTCCCACTAAGTACAACTCAAAGCCCTGGATATTGTATATGAAAAAACACAAGGGCCGGGCGTGGTGGCTCAAGCCTGTAATCCTAGCCCTTTGGGAGGCTGAGGCGGGTGGATCACGAGGTCAAGAGATCGAGACCATCCTGGTCAACATGGTGAAACCCCGTCTCTACTAAAAATACAAAAAATTAGCTGGGCATGGTGGCACGTGCCTGTAATCCCAGCCACTCAGGAGGCTGAGGCAGGAGAATTGCCTGAACCCAGGAGGCGGAGGTTGCGGTAAGCCGAGATCATGCCATTGCACTCCAGCCTGGGTAACAAGAGCGAAATTCCATCTCAAAAAAAAAAAAAAAAAAAAAAAAAAAAAAAAAAAAAAAAAAAAAAAACAAGAAGACTCAGTGGAAAGAAGCCAGGCTGGCTCCGGAAACTGGGATCCAGGAAATGACACAATGGTTAATCCCCTGGGTTTTCTTTTTATCTCACACATCCCAGACTTGGGGTGGAAAAAAACCAGCAGCCTGGAATGCCAATGGGGGCAACCAGAAAAGCCCCAACCAAAAGAGAAGAGACTCTCTGCCCTACCCTTCAGAGGAAGGGAATTTAGTGTTCTCTCTCAATTCATCGCTGAAGGAGGGGGAAGAGACTATTTCTGGTTCTCTTCCTGTTAGATTCCTTAGTATTCAAGAACGGGAGTCAATCCTAACTTTAACTGCAGAAATGTGAAAAGAAATGACTTTGGCTCTAATTAGCAACATGGGATGATCATGGAAGAAGCACTTGACAGGAATCCCACCCTCAATTTCTCTACTACCCAAGGTCTCCCAAACGCTTGGTGGAAAGAAACTGAGTTTATGGAGAATTGTCCCTCCCTCCATTCCTCAGGATACCCAAGAATCTTTCTTTGGGTCAACTTGCACCATAGAGGATGGCATTATTGGACTTTTTCACAGCGACTTCTGTTCTTCCCTGTACAATGGCTTTGACTGGATTGTGTTGGCATCATGCTCTTCTCTTTTAGATGATATTCTGAGTTATAGCTTTTGTGTTTATTACAAGGGGTCAGTTGAAGACATTATTCAGGGTTCTTTTTATGATCATACCCTGGGCAATTTTCTTTCTGGCCATATAGATATATTAGAAATAACTGAATGATCCCAAAGACCTGATTTGTTTTAATCATGTGGAATTGTGACTCACAAAACTAAATATTTCCTGTTTGGGTTGGCTGCTGGAAAATTTAAAACTGAGTCAGTGGTCTACTGTGAGCAAGTCTGTAGTATCCATGGGCCTAATTTTGTAAACGAACCTTATGGTATACCTATTCTTACATCTCCTTGTCCTTGTCATCTAATTTTTTTCCAATTTAAGTATCATGTTTTATTTTATGTAGCTTTTATAAATAACCTTAAATTTTCTTGAAATTTTCACGAAGGGCATGAATAGCCTGAGCATGGTCATAATTGCATAGCCCAAGAATGTAACATGTTTAAGTCTTTGTAAAGTACATTTATTACCAGGGATTCATGCAGTAAAATGCTTATGAGAACGAAAATTCCAGAAGAAACCAAAAGAGCTAGATGCTTAGACAAAGGAAGTAAATGTAGCAACTGAAGCCATGTTGCAGGCTCCAAGAGGCTACTTCTGGGCACACTACAGATAACTGAGGCATTGGAAATATGAATAACCCTATATAGAACTCCCACAGGAAAGAGAAGATAGTGAGATTAGTGGCATCCTAGACTTCTCTGAAGCTATAAAAGAATATTGCTACCATCTGTGGGGACTCATATTGCCTTCTACTCAGGATCAAATGTTTTTTTTGACTTCTATGAGTGTGAACATCACTGACTATGGGCTCCCAGTGGAATAAAGGGTAACTAGGGACCACAGCCACAAGAACAGAAGGGGTTAGATTCTTACCATTCCCAGACCAGACTAAGCGAAAAACTCAGCCGAGATGTACGTGTAGCCCCGTTCACATTTCAACAAAATTCACGAATGTCTCTTACTATTTGCCATAAAATTCTTCTTCGTTATTATTTCCAGTGGTGGCATCAAAGGGATGCCTTGAGAGAACACTCTCACCCCAAACTACCACCGATAAATGTACAATTTAAGTAACAACCATATGCTTTGACATGCAACCTCAGCTTCGAGGTCTTTCCTCCTCTAAGGAGTTTCCATTCCTAAGCAGCATCTATGTAAATATGGATGGGCCAACACTGTTTATTTTTACAATCCCCTGTATTAGTCTGTTCTCATGCTGCTATAAAAACACACCTGAGAGTGGCTAATTTATAAAGGAAAGGGATTTAGTTGATTCACAGTTCTGCAGGGCTTTGCAAGGCCTCAGGAAACTCCTAGTCATGATGGAAGAGGAAGCAAATATGTCCTTCTTCACATAGCAAGCCAAAACCACACAGCAAGGAGAAGTGCCAGGCAAAGGGGAAAAAGCACCTAATAAAACCATCAGATCTTGTGAGAACTCAAGAGAACAGCAGCACTGGGCTACTGCCCCCATGATTCAGTTACCTCCCACCAGGTCCCTCCCATGACAAGTAGGGATTATGGCAACTACAATCAAGATTCTCATCTTTTTGGGTGGGGACACAGCCAAACCATATCAATGCCAGATGTGCTTTTCCAAAAGGTAACTCTAAAAAAGGACTGCATATTTGTTTGTGATGCGGCAAGGCAGAAGGAAAAGTTGGAAAGCGGCCTTTGCTAATCGTTATTCAGAGGAATTAAGAACCCAGTTTGAGAGATTTTCAGAGGTTTCAGAAATAAAAGACAGATGATCAAAATCCTATACAGCAGAATGAGCACATGCTTTGCTGTGTATGAAAATATAGAAGCCAAAACTCCCAGTTCTACAGCTTCTGAGCGATTGAGCAATCTTGGACAACTCAATTCGAACTTTAGCTTTCTCCTTGAAAGGTGAATGAAAGGATTAAAGTAAAGAAGGTACCTGGGGTTATTCTGAAAACTGCAGAGCATTTGACCAGTGTCAGTTATGAGCAATAGTCATAGAAGTGTGGAGTCAACCTTATTTTTAAGGAAACAAATCTTAACTTTTCTGTCTCTTTTTTATGACCCTATCTATCTAATCTTAACCTAACAGAACCCCTTTTTTTTGTGGTAGCTTAATCAAGTCTCTTTTGCTTCAACCAAAAGAGTCTGATCTCTACTGATTTCATTGTTTTGTCACTTCACAAACTGAATGCTTCTACATAAAGCTCTGAAAAAGTAATAAGTCATCGCAAATACATGTGATATCCACAATCTAAAAAATAATTGCATAAGCCTGGATGTTGAAAAGCCTTTCTAGAAACACCAAACATCCATTTTCCCCAAGAAATTTCTAAAACTTCCTTAGGCGCTTTTGAAGCATTCTTTATAACAACTGCTTATATAGAACAGAAGTGAAAGAATAAATCAAGTTGGTTTTTAAAACAGCTACATTGTTGGCCCAAAGATGAACAATAGCCCTATTACCAATTTTTTAAAAATACATTTTTTAAAGGAAAAAAAAATCAAACTTGGACAGCCTGAACTTTAAATGGAAGACACATTGTACAAATCAGTAGTTCTGCTACATAGAAAAACTCTACTTAAGAAAAAAGCCTATTTAAGAAAAAAAATATTAACTGAAGATTTACTTAGAATTAAGTTATGGATATCCATATGTAATTCCAATATCTAAGGAGACTTTCTGCAGTATTTCCTTCATTCTCTGCAGAAATGTGCAGAGTTATAAAACTATCTTAGAAGTCCCCTCTCTTGGGCTGTATGCTTGCTGCAGGGAAGAAGATAGGAAAATTAATAACTTACTGGTAGCCTAGTACGTGTCAAACATGTGTGTATACTTTTCAGGGTCAGCCCATTACATGTGGTCAAAAATGCGGGAATGCAAGCCAGGCAGAAGGTACAACATATGAGGACAGGTGGGAAGAAAGATAAAAAAAGGAAGGAAACAGCGGGAAGCCTGTAGAGGGGAAATCAAAAGACTTGGAAAGAGGGATGTCTGAGCATCCATCATTGAATAAATGACAACAAGAATTCTGTCCGTAACAGTGTCTGATATCCTAGTGAACAATAGTTCTAGGTTGACAAACTAAGATCTTGAAATTGATTTGACTTTTAGCACTATTATATCATTATATCGGAACATACAATGACTGTGTTGGGCTTAGAATTTAAAAAAATAAAAATCTCAGAAAATGTCTTATGCTTTATTACATGATAATCCAGAGACTTCTAATAGCAACTGAGTGGCACAGCAATTATGGTGGTATCCACAAATCTACCCCCAGCATACTAAGGACTGTGACTGCTTTTAAATTATGAGTATTTATATTTAAGTTTAAAGAACTAAAGATATCGTCCATAGCATTTCCTTCACCCTACCAAATTAAGGAGTATCAGGAAACTATCTTAGAATTCTACCTGTGGCCTGGCCACTGTAATGTCAGCTGTAGAAGAGACTCATTAACAAAGACAGAAGCATTGGAGAATAAAGACTTCTCAAGCATCCTACTTAGCACAAAAAGTAAACCAGGAGGCGCCAGGCTTACTCATTCATTCACTCTTCAGAAGGACTAACCTTCCCACTGGCTTCCCCGCACCCCCAGTGAACTCTGCCCTGTCCACTCCCGACTGCCCGTGATTCCTTTGAGTCTGAGGAAGGGGAAGCACATAACTACATATCTGTTAATCCTAGGAATTCAATCTTCTTCCTGCACTGTCAGTCATCCTATTTCTTTGAGGGATGGAAGGCCTTCTGTTCCCTGGCTGGCATACCAGTGGACAGGAAAGAAATCAGGAACTGCTTTTACTTAACAGGTAGCTTTGCAAACCTTTTTCCATGTGTAGCACTGGATTTGAGTTGCAGTAGCTTGTTTTCCAAAGACAGTTTTTTTTCTAGTAGTGTTCTCTTCTCCTAGGAGAAAATAAGATACAAATTTTGCTAAACTGGATGTGTATGTTTGGTAAGGCAGTCCTCTGTTCAAACTAGAACTATGGTTTGAGCTAAAGAGCTGATTTCACATGTGCTGTTACTCCCCATCTTCAAGGAAATCTGGCCAAGTATTCTCCTGTGTGTTTTACATATAGTTCAACTATAGGCCAAGAATAGTAGTTTTCACTCTCTCACCTGCCTGGAGGACTTTTGCTCCTCCTGCAGGGCATTGCCTGTAGCCTGTTCAGCTCAGCCTCTCCGATTCACCTCTCCCCATCCTGCCCCACATAAACAGCCTGCTCATCCCTTACTAGGCACTGGCTCTCCCACCCTTATACCGCTTCCCTACATTAGGCTGAGTTGGTGGTATCTAAGGACAGTAGATACCCTACCCACTACATGGCATCTGTCAGAGAGTAGTAAATAAACGTATGTTTGATGAAGGATCAAGGCCACAAAGGATACAACTGCTTTCCAATTAGTATACAGGAGAAACTGAGATTGCAATTTTTTGATACTGAGAAAGACTATCTTTTAAAAATGCCCTAATTTGATTATTAAGCCAAACTGTTTCCATCTTAAAGGAAAACAAACCAGACCATAGAAACGAAGCTGAGATGACTGTGTTCATTTTATATTTGATGGCAATTGGCTGAAAACAGGAATTTGGTGCTTTGGCCTGATGATTGAGGTTGCCAAGTTGGAAAGAATCAAGGGAGATTGAAAAGAGGGAGGAATTGGTATTGGCAACATGGATGGAATTGACTGGAAGAGATGTGCTGAAACTATCTACAGTGCTGTTTAAAATTACTTCCTGCGGCAGCATCTGAATGAGTAGTACACAGAGAGGCAGTGCTGTATAGCAGAAACATCACAAAGATGGTCTACAGGGACTTACTGGGTTTCTACATTTTGGCCAAGGTTTTAAACTCTCTGGGCCTTACCACTGTTAAGAAAAATTAACCCAAATTTGGAAATAAAAACAATACACAGCATGCAGTTTTAATGTCATATTGGATAATCATTTAATCATCTGACCCAAGATTTAATTCTCTGAGAATTTCCCTGTGTTTGCTTCTATTATTTATTATTTTATTAGATCCCTGATTCTGTGAAGCTGAATGTAAATTTGTAGATTTCTGTCTGGTAGAAGAGATAATCAGATAATCCCAAAGATTATGGTTTAATTGCCTTAAAGAATATTAACTATTTTTTAAATGTAATCCAGTAATCCTATTCTATTTTCACTTTTTCTCCAAAATGCCTATAAATGGCTAGTTCCTCAAAATATTTTATTTAAACCAGGTTTCTCATCTTACTGTTTCCTTCAATGATCAATGAGTTAGTTGCAACAGTTGCAGGCATTCATTGCACATTCATTTGATTCATACTTTTATCTTCTGAGCATTCCTAAAATGGAGATAATATTACCTATATTGAAATGTTGGGATGACGGAGATAATATATGTAAATGGCATACAGGCTTCCTGGCACATATTTGGACCTCAGTATATAATAATTTGAAGGTACCAGTTACTTCATAGCTGATGTGTTCTGTTATTTTTTTAAAATTATGCTCACTTTTTCCAATTTTTCTTATAGTATTCTCGCCACATAGAAATTGTCCTGGAGTTACCCTCGCTGTGTTCAAATTATTTCTGAGGGATCACAGATACATCTTGCAAGCATATGATGATGCTTGGGTTATCAAAGAAACACACCACAGATAATGTATTTTGAATTTGTCAGGTGAGGGAAAATGGTTCCTAACAACATCAAATAGACTTACTCTTGATTAATGGATTTTCATAAACAGGAGTCAGGGAAACCAGATAGCCGGACACGTAAAAGCTCTCCCTTGGCCAGGCTCTGGCATCTAGGTTGGGTTCTTTTTGCCTCCTCTTTAACAACACAGAAAATCATACCATACCGGATAGCATTTCTCAGGCAATGTCCTCAGGAAAGGGAAAGGGAGTTTGCAGCACCCCACAGTGGGCAACCCACTATTCCCAGAGCCATACCTCGAGACAGCTCCAGGATTCCCTCCCCAGACTGATCCGAGTGGGCACCAATTTAAATCATTGCCAAATGATAACATCTGAATGGTTTGGGAATCAAGTTTATCAGTTTTGTCCAGCGTTAGAGAAGACAGGGGCATAATGGAAAGTGGTATGATCTAGGAAGTGGAAGATTGTGGAATCGTTTCTGGTTTATGCTGTCCTCATTTATAAAATTATCATGAGGAACTAGGTGGTCTCAGGAGTGCCTTTCAGCTCTAAAATTGCAATAGAGCTAAATCGATGACATTAGGAAACAAATATGATGTAACCGAATTGCACTGCTGGCAAACGGAACATATGCTATATTAAAATGCTCTTATTGGGCATTTTTGCTAGCTGATCACTGTGTTTATGGAATTCATTCTCACTGCATTCCTGATTAAAGTGGGACAGATGGTGAAGGTTTTAAGTAATGTGTTCATTACCAGACCTCATACCACTAATGGCTATTTACTGGAGCGGTGGATTGTTCAAGTGAGTAGCAAGAAAATTCTTCTCCAGGGGGTACGCACTACCAGAGCAATATTTATCAACCTTTGTGAGAATGTTCATTTTTAATTTTTACTTTATTTTTGAACTTGTTTTTTCCCTATTAATACAAAAAGGCCAGTACTCCCTCCCTTATTCTGACCCCCACTCCCTACCTGAGACACCCTTCCTCACAGCCTGTCTTCACAGTCTCTCCTTAAACCAAGACGTTGCCAAGCTTTGCTTCTTACAGTTTTATTTATTTGCTTGTTTCACAAATATAAAATATCCTTAAACCAATTTGGTTTTATTTTTTGAGACAGAGTCCTGCTCTATCACTCAGGCTGGAGTGCAGTGGTGTGATCTTGGCTGGCTGCAACCTCCCAGGTTCAAGTGATTCTCATGCCTCAGCCTCCAGAGTACCTGGGACTACAGGCACATGCCACCATGACCAGTAAATTTTTGCATTTTTTAGGAGAGACACAGTTTCACCATGTTGGCCAGGTTAGTCTTGAACTCCTGGCCTCAAGCGATCCTCCTGCCTCAGCCTCCCCAAATGCTGGAATTATAGGCGTGAGCCACCATGCCTGACCTAAACCATTTTTTTTTTAAAGATAAGACTCCTGCACATTTCCCTTCCACATTATCCCCACTTATCTCCACCCTCCAGAGATTCCAGTAGGCTGTATTCTAGGAAGTCACTGAATTATTGTGGAAGGTTTCTGCATGACCTTGCCAAGCCATGGGCATCCTGTCTACTTCCTCTGTCCAAGATCTCCTGGAGACAGCCCACTGTTATGAGTTATTATCAGGGAGGAGTGAGGCCATCACTTCCCAAGAATGTTCTGCAGGATCTGGGCCACTGAACCTTACTCTGGAATACACTCCTCTGCCTTCTACTGGGCTTTCAGCTTCCCTAAAGGACTCATAGAAGGATTAAGAAAGGGAGATCTGGGAAGTTCTTTGAACCTCACACAATCCAGATATACTACATTGTCATCTCCACAAAAAGACTATCTGGTTCATTCACAAATGTATATCCAGCCCGTAGTTCTATGCTGTGGATGGTGGTGTTCAAATATTTGTTTAATGAACAGTGAAGTAAATATACCCCAGACCTCTGAGATGAACTTACATCTAGAACACATTTCCTGGGGTCACTAGGAAATAGAAATTATCTTCCACTGTTCTTTTGTTAATTGGGGAGCAGTGACAGTGGCCACTAAACCTAACCCAATATTACCAGGTTTGAGATGGGGTGAGCTCTAGTCTATACTTAAATGTTAAGCTGGTTAATCAAGTTGTTTGGTGAAGCAATTATATTCATTTCCCAGAATTGGCTTTCTTTCCTTAATGCAAACATTCTTTGTGCTATCTTAGTTTTGTTAAGCTATTTATTATAGGATCAAGTATTCTGACACTACCAAGTACTCAACCAAATATTACAGTTTTTCCAAAACAGCATAATTATAAACTTTCATGCCTGGATAAACTAATTGCTTAAGGACATTCTAGCCCACTGATTCTGCTAAAGTATAACACTCTGTGACCCAGCACATAATAAACGTGCAGTTGGATATTATTATCTTAGAACCACTTGAGAAATGAGCATATTTAATTTTTGTGATTTCCTCATAGGACATCACAAAGACTATAAATTCAACCAAATCACAATGTTATAAAACTTTAAATTCTTGGGAAATATTTTTAAACAAATCAAAGTTCCTTTGGTAAGAAACCCAAATATTGAAATGTGATGTTTTTGAAATGACATTTATAAAATGGCATAAACCCAGGCAGAATAATAAAACAAAGCTAAAAAGAACAGAGGCAAATACAATAAATATAAAAAAATGTATTAGGCAATATTTACTAGAAGCCAAAACCTGCATTCTTCTCAAACCCCAATTCCATTTCAGAGATGCCAGTTTTCTCTTTGTTTTGCTATTAAAAAAATATTCCTTGATTTGTCCAAATTCTAAATTCTAAGGCATGCATACACAAATTTATGCATTTACCTTTTATGTATATTTGGAGTGCTAGCTACTTAAATGAACATTGTATGAAACATTTTATAATTTTTGTTCTATTATTACTCTTCTCTAAATATGCCTTCTTAAAGTTCCAATTTCCATAGAATGGATTTTCTTAATGTTAACCGTATCTCTCCTAGTGCAGCCATAGGTTTTTACAAACACAAAGTGGACTTGGGTGGCCAAAAATGGATACTGCACATTAAAATGCTGTGATTACAATGACCTGCCATATTATTGCTCCTAGTAGATGGACTTTGTGATCTTTTCCATTATTTGCATTCACAGCCTCACCTGGGTCCCCTTTCTAAGTCATGTATTTCCTAGAAAGAGAATGTGACAAATGATGATATGACTACAGTATTCGCAGAAAGGTAAATCAATCACTACAGTATAGATCATATGAAATGTTTAAGGGAAAAAAAATATTAAATCATTCCTAAGGCCAAGAATTGTAAAGAACACTTTCACATAATATTATCTTATTTAATTCAACGTCCTATTTATTTTAGTGTTATTTTATTTCTTGCTCATCTTAACCATGTCGGTAAGAAAATCCCCTAATTCTCCAGAGGCGTACCTTTTCCATTCTCTGTACAAGGTTCTCTAATTCTGTAATTTGACTGTGTTTTTCTTCAAGTTTTTCAGCAACTTGATTCAGATTTTCAACATGTTGTTTCAATTTCTGTTCTTTTTCAACCTTGTTAACCTATGGTCAGAGAAACAGTTGTGTTGTGAAAACTCGGTTTTTATTAAACCTATACACATATTACCTCTTCCTATAATATTCTAGTTAGCCAAAAAAATTCCAAATTCATACTTATTTAGAATTACTTTTTTGATATCAGCGTTTCCTTCAAAATAACCCTGATAGACTACAACAACATTAAATAGAGAATTAATAATGTATAAATATTCTTCCTAGAATGTTTACATTTGTTACCATAAAGCATACTTCCTGAACTGGTATAAGAAAGAAAGATACTAATTTAAGAAAAACAAACATTTTTTTTTACTATACTTTTAAGTTCTGGGGTACATGTGCAGAACGTGCAGGTTACACAGTTATACATATGCTATGGTGGTTTGCTGCACCCATCAACCAGTCATCTACATTGGGTATTTCCCCTAATGCTATCCAGAACACACAAAAAAATCTTACATGTTCAATGAAAACATGTTTTATTTTTAATCGTGAAGTGTCACGAAAGCAGAATAAGTCTCCTCACTGCATCATGGTGCTACTTCATAGGCATAGAGGACGGGTAGGGCTGACGATCATGGGAGAGAAGTCTTTGTCTAGCAGGCAACAGGCCACAGTGGGACTGCGTGAACTAACTTCTTACTCCTCTGCATGTGTATTTTACAAAGTTTGACATTTCACATTGAAAAATAAGTGTCTGGCTTCCCTTGGAAATACCAAGTGGGCCTTTCTGTCAGGTCACTCCAGGCTGGGGCTGAGCCCACATTACAGGGATGCATGCTTCCTGTCCCCACAAGCACCACCATCACATAGCACCCCTCATCCGCTTCCCGCTTACGTTCTTCATCTGCACCCTGCAAGCAGGTGAGTTTGCAACTATCACTACCACAGCCTGAAGCATGAAAGGGTGTCACTTAGGCAGTGAATTTCCTACTGTACTCCCCAGAGACCCTCCTATAGCTTGAGCTGACAGACACCTGGGTGCCCCAAACTGTTATGAATGAACTTTCCGATTAGCTGTTTTATATTTTTAATGTTGGCAAACAAATACACACACACACACACATACACACACAGGCACACACATACTTTTTGACTCCTCCAGTTCTAGAATATATTTTTCAGACAGATTTTATTGGTCCTAGTATATATACTCCAGATTTAAAAGCAAATGAACAAAAAAGAATATGCATGAGGGTATGTACATGTTTTTTATTTTTAACATTTATATATATTTACATATTAAAATATAAAAATAGATAACTTTATATATTTTTAACTATATATACATTCATATTTTTGTTTTCTATTTTTTTAAATCTGAAGTATGTATGCTAAGACCAAAACAAGCTTGAAACTATGTGTCTTTCACTCTAGAGACAGAGACATCCAAGTCCAGAAAGAATGGCTTAGTCTGAGTCATCTAGCAAGTCAACGACAGAGCCTGAAGGGAAGTTACCAGCCAGGCTCGGAAGGGCCAGCCCAGATTTCCAGGCAGGGTGGCGCTGCCTCCCTCCCACCTGTGTTCTTGGGGGCTCTGAGTAAGAACTGAGACACAGCAGCTCAGCAACATCTGGGGTGTTGGGCTACACAGCGTGAGGCAAATCGGCAAAAAAGACTAGCCCACCGCTCCTTCTCCAAGTCTTCTGCCAAGTCATTTGGCCATTGCTTATTTCATTTCTAATTCTTCCAGAAAGATGAACTTGAACAGCTCGGGGTGGGGGCTCGTTCTCCAGTAGACAAGCTGCGTGTTTGGTACCTGGAGTAAGTGTTTACTGTCCTCATGCTTTTTTCTCACTTCTTCGGATTGTGTTTGATAGTTTTCAAATAATCTCCGGGCCACGTCTCGCAGAGCTGCTGCTCCTGCTTCTCTGGAGGCTTCCAGCTAGAAAAAAGGTCACTATGCATGTTCTGACATTTACAACAAAAAGCGTTAAAGGCAGAACAGTTTGGTTGGCAATTAAGAACACCGAGGCTGTAACTATACATGTACAGCCTCATAGAAAATGGATAGGAGAGAAGACACTGTTACCTGGTAGGAGGAAAATGTACAATAAGAAACTCCCTATTTAGAGGGGCTGCTGTGAAGCGGGAAATTAGGGACTTGGAGAGACCAATGGGGAAGCCGGAGCATTTTATTTAATGTGATTGCAGGCTCAGTGGAATTGCTTCCTAAGCCTGAGCAAGGTACAAAAACACTGAGGGCCTTTTAAGTACCTTTGTGATACAAGATGATTAAGCAGGAAGTGATTTTACAGAACTAAGAACAAAGAGCAGTTAATTATCCTGTGACATGTCTTGTGACGTACTTTACATTTGAAAAATAACATTGTAAGAAACACGTCTTACATTCTTTAGGTTTTATTTGCCCTGTGACCTTGCAGGTGGTCAGCAAGAAAAATAGGAACTTCTGGATGCCTGGGAACTTTGCTAAGAAGGTGGGGAGGATAGATAAGGTTGAATGGTTTACAGAGAGTTAGTTAATTTTAAGCAGAGCAGAGGAGGGGAGGAAGTTTCATCTTAAACACAACACAGTAAATTTTGCCTTATTGTACAGCAATTGTAAATTATTAGTTACCCTCTTCAGTTGAACAGGCAGATTTGCCCTGGTCAAACCAAAGCAGAGCTCATTCCACAGCAATGCCCTGCAGATATACTCCTCACCATTCAAATAACTCTATGGTGCTCTGTCAGCTTATACACTTATTTGCAAGCCTTTTATCATTACTGTCCATAACAATATTAAAAAGTGTATCTTCCTGAAATAGAAGTGGGACAAGTTTAAAGTATTGAGGGCAATAATGCTAAATGTCATGAATCTTTCCAGGATTTAACCTAAGGAAACAATCAGGGATGACTATAAAGATTTCCCTACCAAGATATTCATTGCAGGACTGCATATAAAATAAGCCTTTAAAGGGGAAAATCAAAAGCATTCAGCAATAGACAAATTTAAAGAATATTGTGACATTTTACTATGAAGGCTATAGTTAATATTTATTAAATACAACACACTTTTAAAAATGCATTGTGGCTTGTGATAAGAACACTTAACATGAGATCTACTAAGTGTACAGTACAGTATTGTTAAGTATAAGCATAATCTTATGCAGTAGATTTCTAGAACTTATTCATCACGCATGACTGAAATTGTATAACTTGAACTTTTGTAAGATATTTTCAATAACAAAAGAAGCCTCAACAATAAAACAGTGAGATATGATTTGTGAAATATAAAAATGCTTCTATATGGAAGGGAGCATACAGGTGGACCTATGGATATGTATGGACATCTCTCTGCTTTTACAGAGCCATGAACACTAACAACCTATTCTATTAGCCCAAAGGCTCAAAACACAGAATTTGAAACTTCTAATAGTCATACCTTGATTTTCAATACTTCATTCTCTTTGTTCATTTCTAAGAGCTGTAGGTCTTTTCCTTTTATCTTTTTCATAAGCAAATCCAAACTGCAACAAGAAGGATCCATTTCAGAATGAGAGCCCTGTTGAAGGTTTCCACAGCGCTGAAATGGACAAACATGAAAATCATAGACCTGACTATTTTTCCCTTTACAAACTTTGACAACAATAATGATCATTTAGTGTTACATATATCAAAGAGGCTTCAGGTCAGCATAAATAAACATCTTTTGAATCTCAAATATCAATGGGAAATTCTAGATGAAACATCTGACTTCTATATTTGCTCAAATTTGAACAGATTCTTTTTTTTTTTTTTCAGTAGTTTTAACTGACCTGGATTCGAATGACAAATTATATGAAATCTCCTGAGATGCATCTCCCACCAAAATGTACATCAGGTTTATAATCTTGAGTTCCCTGACTAGAGAGATCATGTTGGTCACATTTTCTTTTTTTTTTTTTTTTTTTGCTAAATGCATGGGAGATCACAGTTAGCAAAAGCAGGAAAAAAAAGGAAAAAGAAAAAAAAAGAATAAAGGAAAGGAAGAAAGAGGAAGAGGAAAAGGGAGAGAGAACAGGGGTGTTGCTTTATTGCCCAGGCTAGAATGCAGTCTAAAAAATGGGTATGCCTGTAACTGTGTTTAATAATAGAGACATAAAAAAAAATGAGGGAAGAAAATACTTAACAAGCAGCCAACCAATGTTTCATTTAAACCTGTAAATACGTGTGATGTAGTACTGATAAGAGTGTATATTTTGTGTATTTAAAGTGGAGAGTTCTATGAATGTTAATTAAGTCTACTTGTTCCACATCTGAGTTCAAGTCCTGAATATCGATGTTAACTTTCTGTCTCATTGATCTGTAAGTCTCCCACTATTATTGTGTGGGAGTCCAAGTCTCTTTGTAAGTCTTATATATCTGGGTATTTCTGTATTGGGTGCATATATATTTAGGATCTTTAGCTCTTCTTGTTACATTGATCCTTTTATCTTTATGTAATATCCTTCTTTGCTTCTTTTGATCTTTGTTGCTTTGAAGTCTATTTTATCAGCAAAAATTGCAACTACTGCTTTCTATTTATTTATTTTCGCTCTCCATTTGGTTGGTAAATTTTTCTCCATCCCTTTGTTTTGAGTCTTTGTGTATCCTTGCATGTAAGATGGATCTGGATGTAGCATACCAATGGGTCTTGGCTTTTTTTGCCTGTCTGTGTCTTTGGATTGGGGGATTTAGTCTATTTAAATTTAGAATTAATAACAATATATATGAGTTTGATACTGTCATTTAATGTTAGCTGGCTGTTTTGCCCATTAGTTGATGCAATTTCTTAATTATGTTGATGTTCTTTATTTTTTGGCATTTTTTAGAAAGGCTGATACTGGTTGTTCCTTTCTATTTGTAGTGGTTCTTTCAGAAGCTCTTGTAAAGCAGGCCTGGTGGTGATGAAATCTCTGAGTGCTTGCTTGTTCACAAAAGATTTTATTTTTCCTTCGCTTATGAAGCTAGTTTGGCTGGATGTAAAATTCTGGGTTGAAAGTTCTTTTCTTTAAGGATGTTGAATATTGGCCCCCACTCTCTTCTGGCTTGTAGGGTTTCTGCTGAGAGATCTGCTGTGAGTCTGATGGGCTTCCCTTTATGGGTAGCCTACCTTTCTTTCTGGCTGCCCTCAGTATTTTCTCTTTCATTTCAACCCTGGTGAATCTGGCAATTATGTGCCTTGAGGTTGGTCTTCTTGAGGAATATCTGTGGTGTTCTCTGTATTACCTGGAGTTGAATATGGTCCTGCCTTGCTAGGTTGGGAAAGTTTTCCTGAATAATATCCTGAAGCATATTTTCCAGCTTGGATTGATTCTCTTTGTCACATTCAGGTACACATATCAAACGTAGATTAGGTCTTTTCACATAGTCCCATATTTCTTGGAGACTTTGCTCGTTCTTTTTTATCCTTTTTTCTCTAATCTTGTCTTTTTGTTTTATTTCATGAAGTTGGTCTTCGACCTCTGATATCTTTTCTTCTGCTTGATCAATTCGGCTGTTAAAACTTGTGCATAGTTCGCGAAGTTCTCGTGTTGTATTTTTCAGCTCCATTAATTCACTTATATTCCTCTCTAAATTGTGTGTTATTTTTAACATTTCGTCAAACCTTTTTTTAAAGTTCTCAGTTTCTTTGCATTGGGTTACAACAAGTTCTTTTAATTCCCAGAAGTTTCTTAGCATCCACTTTTTAAAGTCTGCTTCTGCTAATGGAACACAGTCTTTCTCCATCAGGCCTTGTTCTGTTGCTGATGAGGAACTATGATCCCCTGTAAGGGAAAGGCATTCTGATTTTGGGCATTCTCAGCCTTTTTAGGCTGGTTTCTTCCCTTCGTTATAAATTTATCCATCTGTGGTCTTTATAATTACCATCTTTATAGTTGGGTTTCTGAATGGACGTCCAACTTGTTGATTCCCCGGCGCTAGAATCTGAGCAACCCACTGCGCTGGCCAAAACAGTGGCTTTAAGATTGATGGTGCTTTTCTGACTCTGCACCAAGAACCGCCGCTCCAAGTCAGTGGCAAAACCGCCTCGCCGGCCACAAGAGTTGCGCTGGCGACACGTGGGGCTCCTCCGCTGGGAATCTCCTGGTGCCTGAGCAACAAAGATTGATCTGAAAGTGTGGCGTCCTCTCCTTCTCTGCTCTTTCAGTGGGAGCTACAATCCCGAGCTGCTAGTGATCAGCCATCTTGGATCTCTCTTTTTTATCTTTGAACAGGTTCTTATATTGAAATATAAGAATTATATTTTTATATTCTTATATTGAATCTGTTCAAAGAATCTCTTTGAACAGATTCTTATATTGAAAGAGGTAGAATGATATTTTAACTTTTATATTTTCTATAGTTTCAAATATACTGATAAATGCTTTTGAGGAGATAAATAATATCCACAAGGCCAGACAGTTTTAAAAAATCTAAGATGTGGACATAATTCCATTTTGGCTACATTGCATTACAGACTAATACAGTCAGATCTAATAGTTATAATACATAATAGTCAATGTTTGGTCATGTTTCACTGTAATTACCTCATATTAAATTTCCAATCAGAGATATCAGAACTGAATGGCACTTCCATTATAACTTGATGTAAGCTCTAGCTCACTGAAAATATACTTGGAGCATAAATCTCATCTGGAATTGTGCACACACTGAAGTGGAAAAGAAATTAGAAACCATCTAACTTAACCTGTCCATTTTACAGATGTAGAAACTGAGGACCAGGGTCCAGGCATATGCAGCAAATGAGCAAGAGAGCTCATGGCACAGCCTCTTAAATAGTTACTATGTGCTCATTCTTTCAATTTATTTCAAAACAGAGAAACTATTACACAATTACACATACCCTACAATTATAATAACAACTTCTATTTGTTAAACACCTGTTATGTGCCAGGTCATCTTTTAGATGTTTTAGGTACAGTCTTTTGTCTGAACACTCAAAACACTGGAAGGCACTATGCCCTTCCCACAGGTGAGGAATTTGAAGATGAGAATTTAACTAACACACCTAAGATTATACCTAAAGCAACTGCCAGACCATAATTAGAATCCCAGTTTGTTTAATAACAAAATATATGTTCTTTTCACTACAGTATATCTACACTTGTAGAAATAAAAAAAGAAAAGAACATAGTACATATGGATAGCATCCTCCCTCACCATAACTCTGCCACGGTTTTGTTTTTTATAGTTCAGGCCCTAGTGCATATTCCTGCTCTCCATATACAGAATAGGAATGATTTTCTTTTTTAATTTGTTAAAGAATATTTGACAGAAAATCTCTTGTAGAAGAAGGTAAATTATCAGCAGTAGTAGACGACTACAAAGATCATTGATCAGTGCTTTTCAAACTTCAATGTGCGTGTGAATTACTGGGTGATAGATCTGGTTAAAAATGCAGATTCTGGCTGGTCTTAGTGGGGTGGCTCACACCTGTAATCCCAGCACTTTGGGAGGCTGAGGTGGGTGGATCACAAGGTCAGGAGTTCGAGAGCAGCCTGGCCAACATGGTGAAATCCCATCTCTACTAAAAATACAAAAATTAGCTGGGAGTGGTGGTATGCACCTGTAGTATCAGCTACTCCAGAGGCTGAGGCAGGAGAATTGCTTGGACCCAGGAGGCTGAGGTTGCAATGAGCCAAGTTCATGCCACTGCACTCTAGCCTGGGTGACAGAGCAAGACTCTGTCTCAAAAAAAAAAAAAAAAAAAAAAAAATGAAGATTCTGAATCAGTGGCCCTGGAGTAGAGCTTAGATGCTGCATTTCTAACAAGTTTCTGGTGACGCTGAGCTACTGGGACTGCAGAGCATACTTGAGAGTAGCAAGGCCCTAGGTCACTCTGGCAAAATCCCTACAGGGCCAGAGGGCTGATGTTTTGATGCATGGTTGATCTGCTGACCTTCCGTGGTTTGAGGCAGCTGAGACAGACACATGGTAACACACTGTCGTCACCATTTCCATGAAGCTACTCCTATCAAGCCACCAATATGCTCCATGTTATTACATCCAATGGTTGGCATTTGGTCCTCAATGTTCTTGGCCCACAGACAGCATTTGACAGAGGGGTCCCGCTCCGCTCTGAAACCCTTTCCTCATTTGCCTTCAGTGACTCCCGCTGAAGTAACCTTGATAGGAGTAGCTCCAAACCATGAAAGGTCAACAGATCAACCACACTTCCAATCATCAGCCCTCTGGCCCTGCAGAGATTTCACCGTAATAATCTAGGGCCTTACTACCCTCGAGTGTTGGTCTACAATCCCAGCAGCTCAGCATCAGCAGAAGCTTGTTAGAAATGCAGCACCTGGGCTTTACCCTAGAACCCTAAAATCTCCTTCTTTTCCTCCTAATCCACGAGCCTCATCTTAGTTTATGAAACCCTTTCCTCATTTGCCTTCCAGTGGACAACACTGATGAAGTACACTTGGCACAGATGAGGTTTAGCCTGGTGTAATCCAGACAATGCTAAGTGCAGGCTGCTCGACCTTATATATATAAAGCTGATGTTGTGGAAGGGAGCACATTCAAGCTTATCAACTATCTGACAAAGACTTTACTCAACTCAGGCCTAAAAGCTTCAAGTGTGTGTGTCTATTCGTGTGGCCCAGGTGAGCCTAAAAGCTCCACCTGTCATTGGGAAATGCCGCTGTCATCGATCCTGGCTGGGCTGACATCTTCTCATTTACTTTAGATAAGTAAGCTTTGTTTAATATATTCAAGTAAGGCCTAGCCATTCCAATTTGATCTTACTCATAACATTCGTGGTTAAACATTTCACACATATGATCATTAGCATCTTTAGATACGAATGAAATACTTCAACACTCATCCTTCAAAGCATCAAAGAACTTAGTAATTGCCCAAAAAGTTACTTTAAGAAGTCCAACTGGCTTTATGCTAATCTTTAGAAGGAAATTATTACCTTTGTGTCTAGACTGTGATTTGTACTATTATGTCTTACTTCATCTTTAAACATTTGGGTTCTGATCTTTTCCAGAGTAGTTCGAATCTACAGAAGGAAAAAAAAGAAAACATTTTATTTGTTTCAAAGGCATTTAATGCCAAAGGCTTTTTTCTCAATACCACTTACAGGGTACCTGATTATCTAGAAAGTAATACACATATACATATATTGATCTCAGATTTAAATAACTGCCACCATCAACCTAACTTGCATTTAGGCTAATATTGTTTAGATTGCTTAAAGTAAGCATTTGGCCTTTAGAACTCTTTCTCAGACAAATCTAAAATATGATCACTTAAGTGAATATTATCCCCAAAACAATTATTATTTAGTAATTAGTACCTAATACTATTTAGTTCTGTTTTGTCTTTTTAGTAATTTAGCACTAATTTACTGTTTAGTAATTACTATAAAACAATTACTGCTTAGTAGTCACTACAAAATAATTACTATCTACTAATTACCACAAAATAATTACTACCTAGTAATTACTACAAAATAATTACTATTAAGTAATTACTACAGAATAATTACTGAGAGATTATATACATTAATGCATGAAATATAAGCCCCATGTCTTGATGACCCATGGAATTTGCAAGACACTTAAAAATGATGGAATTAATTGATCTGAACAAGTTATGAACTATGTCAGAATTTGTCCATTATTTAGTTAAATAATTAAATAATCCAAAAAGGTAAAATGTGAAATTTCTCTTTTCATTCAGCATCCTTTCAGACTATAGGACTATAAGAGTAGGAGCCAGGTTTATACTCTAGCACATTTTTTTTTCGAGAAGGAATCTTTCTCTTTTGGTCAGGCTGGAGTGCAATGACTTGATCTTGGCTCACTGCAACCTCCGCCTCCCAGATTCAAGCGATTCTCCTGCCTCAGCCTCCCCAGCAGCTGGGATTACAGCTGGCCACCAACACGCATGGCTATTTTTTTGTATTTTTAGTAGAGACAGGGTTTCGCCATGTTGGTCAGGCTGGTCTCAAACTCCTGACCTCAGGTGATCTGCCCGTCTCAGCTTCCCAAAGTGCTGGGATTACAGGTGTGAGCCACTGTGCCCAGCCTACTCTAGCACATTTTAAGTGCCTAATAAATGTCTTTCTAAGAAACAGTTAAGAATATATACTTCTGTCAGCCATTATCATCTTGGATTCTCATAAGACTTCACATGTTTAATGAAGTGACATGCCAATCCACAGTCACTGGCAATAGTTACCATGAACTGTGAAAAGGAACAAGGTAAGGAGAGGCACCAACTCAGCAGGAAATATAAACATATACTTGGGAACATGATCAACACTCATGAAACCACTGGAAAACATTATATAACAGCAGGAAATCCAGTGGTGAATAGTGTGGGACAAATTAAGGGCTGATAGGTGTTCTGAACCCTCCTGGCCCATCATTCAATTTTACTGAGTGAGGAAAATCATTTTACTCCAAGTGTAGGAACAGTTTCATATCCTCAAGAGAAATGACAAAACATCGGTTTAAATTTCAGCTAGGAAGACTGTCCTTTGCCAAATTAGAATTGTTCCTTTACATGTGTTCTGTTACATATATGGAGAGGGAAACAAAGTCCTCCAGCCCATATGGGAATTCATCTTTAAAAAATCATATCATACTAATGATTTCTGCTACCCACATACCTTTTTCACGTACTCGGTTTCTTCAATAATGTGAGCAGATGTAGACTCATACAAGGCAGAATTATCTTCCATCTTATCCCTTGGAGGAATTTCTGTGGTCACTGTCACTGTTGTCATTGTGAATTCTGATTTTAGAAAAACATAAATCAGCTAAGCAAAACAGACTGTTTTGATTGCATGATTATGTGGTTCATAAACTGAAATAAGTTGTTTTATCACTATAGTCAAATACAGCAGAAAAGCTATAATTCATTGGTATCTGTATATATTCATAAATCCAGGAATTAATTTAATATGAAGCAATATCATCTGAAGGAATCATTAATTTAAAAAATTAACATTTAAATAATTTAAGAAGGTAAAATCTGAAATTTTTCTTTTTATTCAGTATCATCTCAGACTATAAAATCTCAGGAGTAGGAATGAGGTTTATATTCTAACACATTGAAAGAATGTAATAAATGCCTGTGGAATTAACATAATATAATTGTAACAAAATTATGTCTTGTGTGTGTGTGTACCTTCATATATAGTCTGTAAAGGCTATTTACTATTAGGAGAACTAATAGTAAACGACCGGAAAAATCCCATGCCAACAAAAAGAAGATAGATTAAATAAACTATCAACGGCTATGAAGTCATCACTCAGATGTACTATTATCTTATGAAAAAGCAAAGAGTAGAAAAGAATATGTAATATATTTTCTATAAGAAGGGCAGGAAATATGAATGCAAGGAAGAAATCTATGTCTTAATGTTTTAATACTAAACCATGTATATATTTTATCTAACTATAAAATAAAATTGATAGAAAAAGTAATCATCCAAAATAAAGATGAAATGAAATAAATAAATACATCCATATAACAAGTTCTGTAACCACAAGAATTTTTTCATGTGATTAAAAATGACATACTAGGGACTAATTATCCCTAGTGTGCTATATTTTAAAACAGAAAGAATAGTAAAACAATCTTAAACTATATTCACTCATAATATTGTTAGTGGAAATACTGGTATTGTTCTTTTGAACTGTGAACTGTGTGTGTGTGTGTGTGTGTATGTACATAGGTTCACACTATAAAATAAAGCCAACAGGTAATTGCGTTAACATCGTGAATAATCAAGCTATTTAGCATAAAAGAAAAAATGAAATATAGAACATAAATGTAGGTGAAGCTGAAAGTCAAGGATGGTGGCTCACATCTGTAATCCCAGCACTTTGGGAGGCCAAGGAGGACTCATCACTTGAGGTCAGGAGTTTGAGACCAGCCTGACTGACATGGTGAAACCCCGTCTCTACTAAAAATACAAAAATTAGCTGGGCATGGTGGTGCACGTCTGTAATCCCAGCTACCTGGGAGGCTGAGGCATGAGGAGCACTTGAACCCAGGAGGTAGAAAACAATGATTTATTTTTCTTTAATATATATATTTAATATATCATATATATATATCATATATATATGATATATATGATATATATATGATATATATGATATATATGAGATATATATATATATGATATATATATGATATATATATATATGTTCTACCTCTATTCACCGAGAAACTTAGTAGCAATTAGCATCCCTAGTGGCCAGACTGTGGTCTTTGAATATCATATCCTACTAAAAAGAAACTAGGACTTCTTGGCTGATCCAGGTCTGGGGTAAGAAATACATAAAGTGAGCCTGAGAGATCTGGTCATGCCAGCAAACAAAAAAAGTAATCAAATACTATTTGAATAAGACACAAAACCCATCCTAAAAAAGAATGTGATGGATTGAAACTTATCAAAAATGTTAAATTCCTGAACTGATGATGGCTGAAGAAAAAACCCACAACAACCACAGTACTCACTCTCCACCTTCAGAAACACATAAGAACAGCTCGATGCACATGGACTAAAAGTATACTACCCCCAGAACCTAAAGTAAAATTTAAAAAATAAAGAAATAAAGCTGGCAAAAAAAAGAAACATTTAATATATGAACTATATTTCATAGTAGCCAAGTAGTTGATGAAGGAAAGTTTTTTATGGAATTCCAGCTAATAAATTCAAAAGGATTGATAAAATTGAAAAACCTGTATTTTACAACACCTTATGAAGTAAAAAACCTAAGCATCATCACCTAAAGCTAAAAACATTAGTGAATATTTAACAAGGAAACTTAACATGAGAGACCCCATTAATCAATCTTAACATTAATTAAGGATCTTAAAAGATACAGGACCAAATGCAATATATGAATCTTGTTTAGATTTTGAGTCAAAAAAAAAAAAACAACTATGTAAAGACATTTTTGAGACTAACTGGATAATATATGATGTAAAAGAATTGTTGTAATTTTGCTAGCTGTGATAATTATGACATTCCTTAAAGGGGTTGTATCTGTTAGTGACACCTACTGACATATTTGCAGGTGAAACGGCATTACATTTGGAACTGCTTTAAAACTCAAAGAGTGAGATAAGGAGAAGGGGATAAAGATTAAGGAAATTTAGCAAAATATAAATAACTATTGAAACTGGGTGATGAGTCTGTAGGGTTCATTATATTCCTTTATGTATTTTGGGTTTGTTTGAAATTTCTATAGTAAACAGTAAATAACTAATAAGTAAATTGTAATGAAAAACCCTGTGGGGTAGGATTATTAATACCATGTTATTGATAAGCCAAAACTCCACTCCCATGGTGACATGAACTTACCAAAGATTAAGTAAAATTCATAGAGCTAAAACTCAAACATTGGTCTTTTAGAAGTTCAGATATGTTTCCATCGTATTAAGAGTGGCTTCCCTGGAGAGAAATAATAACAAAATATTTAAAATCAAACAATGACCTAGGCTGCAAAAAAGACAAAGAATTTGCATATTTGAGGGTATCACTTGGAAACAAGATAGCTTCTGGGAATACTACAAAGTCTTGTATTTATCCTTTAATCTTCAATGAAATTGACAGAGTATGTGAAGAATTTTCCATTTTATTATAAATCCTCTTAGCGGCTATGGCTTCTATTAAATATTTGTTTCAGCTGAAGTTGATTTGGCAGCAGCAACTCTGCAAGTGGGCTTTTGCAAAATGTGAGTGGAAGTACGTCTCTTACTGGTCCTCTGAAGTCTTTTCTGGGATTAAGATCTTGGTACAAAACAACATTTAAATGCCTGAAGTAAGAGGAGACACCCACAGGGACAATACGCAGTATGCTTGAAAACCAGACGGAGGATGGTCCTGCCAGGGTAGGGGTCAGCAAACCCCAGCCTGGGAGCTCAATCCGATTTCCTTCCTGTTTGTACAGCCCCGGAGCTAAGAATGGTTCTTACATTTTTGAATGGTTCAACAAAAAATTAAAAGAAGAATGACATTTCATGGCACATGAAAATTATATGAATTTCAAATTTAGTATTCATAAAAATGTTTGGAAAAAAGTAAAAGGACATTTCATGACACATGAAAATGATGTGAAGTTCAAATGTAGTGCCCATAAATAAAGTTTTACTCTAGCACCGCATGCCCATTCATGTATCATATCGTCTGCGCTGCTTTGGCACCACAAACAGCAGAGTTCAGTAGTTGTGACAGAGAAAGTATGTGGCAAGCAATGCCTAAGGTATTTCCTATCTGGCCCTTTAGAGGATATGTTTGTTGACCTCTGGGTTAGGGCTTGGCAAGGAGTGGGGGAAGGACCAGGGGGAAAACAGCGGCAAGCAAAGCAATCAATCTAGCCTGAGTTCGTTTTTTCCCTCCAGTACCATAGTCTTGATCTACAGTCCTATTTGATTGATTTACTTTCATTTCCCTTTTAGTATATTATGCAATGTGTAAACTAACAAATGATAAGAGGTATTTTATCATAGGAATGAATGGCCAATTTAAAAATTGCATTAAGGATTACATCTTTTATCTTAAAATATACTCTCTTATGCATCTTTGGTTCTTAAAATCAAGGAATTTTGCTTCTTGATCACTGATATTTCTGAAATCATCCACCTATTCCACTCACTTGTTGGGCCATCTTAAACAAGGTACATAAAACCTTAGTCTTCACTTCCATAGCTGTCAGATAGGGGTGATAACATCTAGCGATATGAAAATGAGTTGTTGTTTTTTTAATGCCTGCTCTCAGGAGGCACTCAATGAACAGTCACTGTCAACAGTGTTGTCCCTGTTATTTTATATTATCAACAGCCACAGAAGACAAGTAGGGCAGGTAGTTCACATCTATCTGGTTACAAAGCTTTATAACTCTATCCATATGAAGTTAAATTCCATTTCTCTCTTTGGTTCAGAAAACTTTTGTACCCACAGTCCCTGATTTGTATAAAGAAACCCAAGGGGAACATAAGCCAACAAAGTCCAAATTGCCATATGGCATTACTATCCTGGAGAAAATCCGTGTTAGCATTTTATTTCGGCCAGAAGTAGATTAAGGAGATGAAGTTTTCAAAATAAATCACAATCAGTTAATTAAAGTAAGGAAAGACTTTTGTTTGTTTTATGATAGAATGGACTGAAGGCAGCTTACAGGTGGCATCACGCCAAGAGGAGGTATTTCCTAGACAAGGGCCTTGCAAACAGGGCTCCCAGGGAGGAGGCGGAGGACTGCTGAATAGACAGGGCTCTGTCGCCTCAACTTCAACCACAGCAGCTTTGCTTTGTTCTGTCACACACACTGAATTTTTCCATGAGGTTTTCTGTGAAGAAAGAAAGTTCCACAGCTGAAACAGTTTAGAGGCAGCCTGCCTAGTCTCATGGCCCCATTCAGCCACTCCATACCTGTGTGACCTCTGCTAAGTCCCTTAACCTCTCTGTGTCTCAGTTTCCTTAATGGTAAAATGAAAATAATATTATTAACAATAATCAATGTGGGGTTGTTCATTAGTTAATATTTGCCAAGCACTTATAACAGCACATATAATATATAATAAATGATTTGTACATATTTGTCAAATGAGTACATAAAATATGAAACCATTATTCACAATTAAGGCTGACAAGCAATCTGAGTAGTTTTCTTTCTCACAGGAAAGAAACAGGTTATATTTTAAATAACCTGTGGACTGAACTGGCCTATGAAGGAAAAATTGCTTTCGGGGACTTTAAGACTAGCAAATCCATGGTACAAATTCCTTATTGCTGATGCACCAATAATTTGTCAGTTTCCTCAGTCAATGATGCTAACATCTAATGAAGAGTTTACAATCTACAAAACAATGCACACACATTATTGTGAATTGTAATCCAAGTGATAAACCACCACACCACCAGGCAACCGAGAGAATCTAACTATACCTCGTGCTCTAGTTAATGACATGAAAATAGCAGAAGTATTATACAATAAACATACACAAGCGCCTGTTACGGGTTGAATTGTGTCCTTCCTCTAATTTTATGTTAAAGTCTTAACCCCTAGTTTCTCAGAATGGGACCTTATTTGGAAATAGGGTTTTACAGATGTAATTAGTTAAGTAAACATGAGCTCATAGTGCAGTAGGGTGGATCCCTACTCCAATATGACTGATGTGCTTATCAGGAGAGATGTGGCAGAGATGAGAACACCGAATCCCCTGTGAAAATGAAGGCAGAGATCTACTGATGCTTGCATATGCCAAGAAACACCAAAGATTACTAGCAAACCACCAAGCAGGGCAGAGGCAAGAAACAGATCTCTCTCACAGCTCTCAAGAGGAACTAACCATGTAGATACATTGATCTTGGACTTCTAGGCTTTAGAACTCAGAGATGATCCATTTCCATGTTCAAGCCACACCATGTGTGGTATTTTGTTAGAGCACCCCTAGAAAAGGATTATAGGCACTGTTGATAGTCTAGAGACTGTAACAAGGGTGTTTCCTTTCTTTACTTAACCCTTGATTCATATATTGAGAGACTAAATATTTATTGAAAGCCACTGTGTTAGGAGCTGTGGCTACAGGGCTGAGCCAAAGACCCTAATTTCATGGGATTTTCAGTACAGAGGGAGAGGCAGACATTAAACAACAAGTAAATATAGAGGGGGTCTAAACAAAGTTGTGATGAGTGATATGAAGAAAAGCAGATCAGGGGACTCAGGGTAAAAGGAGATGCTATTCTATATGAGTGGTGAGGAAAGCTGACCTGAGGAAGCAGTAATTTGAGCAAAAGATGAAGAAAGTAAGGTGCAAGTCATGTGGCTCTCTTGGATCTAGAAGAGAGTTCCAGGCAAATGGGAAGGCAAGAGCAGAAACTGGCATGTGCCTAGAGTAGCGGTTTTTGTTTTGTTTTGCTTTTGAGACAGAGTCTCACTCTGTTGCCCAGGTCTGAGTGCGGTGGCATAATCTCAGCTTACGTCAACCTCTGCAATTCAAGAGATTCTTGTGCCTCAGCTTCCCAATTAGCTGGGATTACAGAGGTGCACCACCATACTCAGCTAATTTTTTTGTATTTTTAGTAGAGACGGGGTTTCGCCATGTTGGCCAGGCTGGTCTCAAACTCCTGGCCTCAAGTGATCCACCCACCTTGGCCTCCCAAATTGTTGGGATTACAGGTGTGAGCTACGATGCCCAGCCTCTAGAGCAGTGTTCTAAGAACACCACTGCACAGAGCAAAGCCTACCATTTTCTTTTCTTTTAATGTTGCAAGATCTTTTTCTTTTTTACCTAAGCTTTTTGAGACTTCCAGTTTGTCTAAGGAGTTGTCTCCTGGGCCACATTAAAACAGGTCTAGCCGTTGCTATTATGGATCCCCCAGGATTGAAGCAAAGACAGAGTGAAGCTGTCAGGTACTGCAAAAGTGTAAACAACTGACCCCAGGTCCGCCCAGAAAAGGGGCAGCAAAGTCTGGTTGACTGCACAGAGGTATTCTCCACTCACTTCTGGGGTCTGCTGATTGAAAAGCACCATGCTAGATGTCTGGCAGGTTTTGGCTAGCTAGCACTTGAATCTCCTTCCCAGATATGCTGAGGCACCATCTGTATGAGTCTTGCAGGAAAGGTCCCTTGTTCATGCTCACTCCCTGGAGCTGGAGCATAGGGACAGTACCTAGAATCAGCCAATGAGAGCCCGTGCTGGAAATGCAACTCAGGGACTGGCCATCTGGCTGGTTGGAGCTGGCGGCAGTGGAAATCCAGTCATTATTCAAGAAAGGCAGAGGTCTCTGATACAGAGTGGTGCTTCTTGTCCAAGTGGCAGGAAATTCAGTGGCAGTATCCAGTGGCCAGTAGCTGTGTCAGGAGGATCCTAACCCCTTCATCCCACAGTCTGATTTCACTCGTGTCCTAGCATATGAGATCCTCCCATTTTCCAAACCTAATTTTTCAACATTCCCATCAATTCCAGTAGCTGCTCCATGTTCTCTCAGTAAATTATTCTTCTACTAAGTCAGCCGGAGTCAGTTACTCCGGGTTGCAATCAAGAGCCCTGCTTGGTTTTAGCAGTTTCTGAGTTTTCAGGTTTTCATTTCCTGGTTCTAACAGATTATTTGTTCATTTTTGATCACTATTTTATAGAGCTTGGATATTAGAAACTGAAAATGTTACTACAAAAGTGCCACAAAGATAATTCGGTTATATGAGGGAAAACAGTGAACGTATTTCCAAACCCTGATAAGACTAACCATGTACTGAATACTAAATAGCACACCTGTTCTGCAGCTACATTACACAGCACAATGGTGACATCCAGTGTCAGCTGGCTAAATCTCAGGTGACTGTGCAGTTTACCTGAAAATGATGCACAGTATACAAAAGACATGCATGTTAACACTGTACTCAAGTTCTGTTTTGAAATAATAATTAAGTTTTGGCTAAGTAGAATTAATTTTGTTCAACTACATGCTACTCATTTGTATATACACAGATATTATAGCCAGTGTTATAGAAAATTCTTAGACATAAGATAAAAGCTATTTTGGGGTAAAAATGAAATATTGATGTAAATACAATGTACGAATATCTATTGACAAAGCATGTACCATTTACCAAAACATTTTTCATATATTGCCAAAATTAATCATTACAACACTGTGTTATAATTATTATCTTCAGTGTGTGTGTGTGTGTGTGTGTGTGTGTGGCACAAAAAAGGGATGTAAGTTTTTCAAAGTTATAAGAACCTCATCAACTGAACAGATAGGTTGACCCCAAATTCAGATGTCTTTGTAATGAAATAGTCTATCCTCATAGTTCACTGGCATAATTTGAAACAATGAAAAAGAGCTTAAAGTTTCAGCCAGTCTTCAGCAACTAAACTGCAAAGAGGTGCAGAGCACAGGTCTCCCTTCCCATCTGGAGAAGAGTGGGAAAGAGGGGCCAGGATTTTGTTTTGTTTTTTGAGAGGGAGTCTCCCTCTGTTGCTCAAGCTGGAGTGCAGTAGCATGATCTCAGCTCACCACAACCTCCGCCTCCCAGATTCCAGAGATTCTTCTGCCTCAGCCTCCCAAGTAGCTGGGACTACAGGTGCACGCCACCATGCATGGATAATTTTTGTATTTTTAGTAGAGATAGGGTTTCACTATGTTGGCCAGGCTGGTCTCGAACTCCTGACCTAGTGATCTGTCTGCCCCAGCCTTCCAAAGAACTGGGATTAAAGGCTTGATCCCAGTAATCCACTGCTCCAGGCCCAGGATTTGTTAAGTGAAGACTATATTTCAGGTAGGGTATGCTCTCTATAATACTTCTCACATCTGCCCTAAGGTCAGTATTATTCCCATTTTGCAGATGAAAAGCAAGGCTCAACAAGATTAAGCAAAGATAGCTAGTTGGTGGCCATTGGATCCCAAGCCATGAGTTGTCTGGCTCTTTCTCATGAGTCTGCTAGCTCCTTCTAACTTACCACTTTGCCTCCTTCTACATTCTGAAGGAGTTTCTAAGCCTCACTTCTTGGGCTCAAGATAGTTTAAGAATCAAGGTTTTCCAAAGCAGGTCACTAAGTAACAGTCACAGAACTCCTGTTGGGAGATTCCAGGTGTGTCCTTCAGGAGCCTGAACAGATATCGTTGTCCCAGTAGATTTATTCCATGAACAAATGCAATTTGATGGCATGGCTTAAAAACAAGGGATTTGGACTCAGTTGTTCTGCCTACAAGACTCTGTTCTACTTCCTCACCAGCTGGGAGGTCTTTGAAAGTCATTCAAACTCCCTAAGCCTCGGTTCCTCAACAGAAAATTTTAGATGGGAATGCCAACTTTCTCAGAGTTCTATGAGGATTAAGAGATAATGCATGAAAAGCGCTTAATGGAATATCTGACCTATAATGCACATTAAATTAATATTAAATAATAATATTTATACTCACAACTTATTGTGGACATTTGCTTGTAGGACATGATTTGAAAGTGTCAATTCCCAAGCTCAGTTTGCCCTTCACTATTCCTTCCTTACCGCATCAGCCAATTATTCCTCCTGATTTGAACTTCTCTATTAACAAGTCAACCCAAAAGCTGGTTAACACTTGCCAGTCAAGAAAATATAAAAGGAAGCTGAAGTTAATGATATATGTCACAGTCACTTGCAGCATTTACAGGATGCCCTTTTAGAAAATGTCATTTGTGATGCTATAAAATATTTTAAGAGTGAACAGTCCAGAAATTTATAAAATACCTACAGTTTTCTGAGCTTGTCCTGGATTATTTTAGCTTGAAGATAATTTACATCACTTAAAAAATTATCCAGCAAGGGGGAAAAAGGAAACCAGACCAGCTCTGGTGAGTATGTGC